ATTTAGAAGTCTTCGCTTCCGGTTATAGCACTTCTCAGTTGACACCGTTGCGACTTAGCACGCTTTCGCCTCCCTCGTCCCTCTCGCCTGTGTCAAGCCCCCCTTGGTAGGATCATGAGATGATGATGCGAGCCTATGATTGTACATATCTTTTTCATTTTGGCCATGATCGCATGTCAAGGACGTTATCTCGCAAGGACGTCATATCGCACGACAGTACGAGTTCGGCAAGGCCATTCTGTGGATGCAGACCCCGGACGGGCCGGCAGGGAGGCCGTTCTGGTGGGCGGCGTCCGTGTCCGCATTCAGCGGCAACATCAAGCCTGCAGCGCTCGCCTCCTTGCGAGACCGAATGACGCTCAGGTTAGTAATTAGTGGGTTTTGAAGTCTGTTCTGTAGATTTGTCCAGTTTACCCTGGTATGAAGCTGGTGTTGAATCAATATCTGGCGATCGTACTTCAAATAATTCGTTGTGTATAGTTGTCAGAATGTTTGTTTGCCGTCTGAGCGTATTTCCCAGAAGTATCGCATCTTGCCTGCGATGCTAACATCATTAAAACTGTTACGATGAATTTGAATTGTATCAACTCGCTTTCCTTACTAGTCAAATGATACCGTCTGTCTGCTCTGAAAGTGTCGCTTCAAAGTGTTTTCTTTTATGATCAAAAAAATATATTCAATCGTTCCTTTACTGGATAAAAGGCATTGTCTGGCACTGTGTCGCCCCTTGCATGCGACACGTCAATTTCGGGCTTGACCAACCGACGTAGTCCCCCCTTTTACGTATTCTGGGGTCTGTCAATCAGAAAGAAGTAAAGTATCACACCCTGCATGCGACACTCCTCCTTACCACTCAAATTTCCTTTGATGCAGCTACTTCAGGACCGTCCTGCCGTCGCGCACCTTCGAGGTCACCCCTGTCCAACTCCAGACTCTCGTGGCGCAGTAAAACCTCCCCAAACTCGTCATCCAACAATTCGTCGTCATCCCAGTTCCGGAGCTGCGGCACGCGCTCATCACGCGCGCTGGCTTCGTGAAACCCGCCGGCACAATGTTCAAGAACGAAGACCGTGACTACGTGGCCGACGAGCAGGTCATGTACTCGCAGTGGGACCTTGAAGAGCTGGACTACCTGGACACAACGCCCTTCAGGGAAGCGGTAATGGGGTGCCGGTGGGAGGTGGACTGTGACGAAGCCACCCCCACGATCCGGGTCTGGGACAGGGGGGCTGAACCGCGGACTCTGCCCAAGAAGGAGAAGCTCCCGGCCGCCCCCTATCTGTCAGCCTCGGTCGTGGAGTCGATTGTAAACCCCCCCCGCTCCCTGGAACTATGGGACCGCAAGATCGTCCTCCAAATCCGCCCGGACTCCCGCCTGGCTGTCATGGCGGTCCGAACGGACACCGCGCACCCGGGGGTACTTGGGGAGAAGTTCCCCCCCATTTCCGCCATCACAGACCGCCTGGGTTGGGTGACCTCCAGCAGCCAAGAATTCGACTTGACGGAGCGACCGGTCCATCTAGTCATGTATCTAGCTGCGTGCGCGAGGGAGGTGGTCGGAGACGCGCGCGCGCTCGAGTCGTCAGTCAGGGCGGCGACACAACTGATGTCAGACCTTCTCAGGTTTGACGGAACAGTGGGGATCGCGGTTCTACCGGGCGATACCCCGCTCGACTGGATTGCATCCGGTCTACAGATAGTCGCCCGCAGGGTCATCTGCTTGGTCCCCAAGAAACTGGAGGTAGGTTAAGCGCAACCTTTTTACCAACTTTAGAGTCTGCTCTAACCTCTACGAGAATGTAACCAGCTCCTGTGTTTTGTAGCTTTCCTCTGTAATTAAAAAAGTGTTGGGCTTGCCGTATCTCGTCTTGCTTGTTTTCCGTCTTCACTATGATTGCTTTTGACTCAGGAGAGTTTGATCAGCTGCTGTGTTTTGTAGCTTTCCCCTCTAGGTAATAAAACGTGGGGGTCGCCGTGTGTCTTGTCTTGCTTGTTTTTCTTGTACACTGTGCAGGAAAGCTCCATAACAGGACCCGCCCTCATCACGATAGTCTTAACTCACTTAAGTCCTAACGAATTGTCTTTCTACTCTCAGAAGGGGTTCGGGAAGTTCGAGAAGTGGGGAGACAGTGGGACGATGTACCAGGTCGTCTACTTGACTCCAGTCGGGTCCGAGCTGGAGCTCCCCGACCAGTCCAAGCAGTACGGGTTCGGGCTGACCCACAAGAGGTTCAAGCACGCCGGCACGTTCACGGTAGGTCCTCTTACAAGCAGCTCGGCCCACTGCAAATTTTCGATGGTGGAAGTTGTAATAGCGTCGCATGCTGCGTGCGATGCTTTTGTAATAAAGGGGTTCGGCGAAACTGATGCCACTCTCCTTGTTTGTTGCAGACCAGTCCGTGCACAGCGGACCCAGAGAGCCGGCCCCTGGAGACCATCAACAACATTCTCGAGGTAGGTTGTATTTCCTCACGCTGGACAGTGTCGCACCCTGCATGTGATGTTTTGAAAGCGGAGCTGCAGCGCTCCAATGACGATGATATGTGAGTTCTTTATGCACAGCAGTGTCTCAAACTGTTTGACGACTGTAGCAAAGTGTCGCAACCTGCCTGCGATGGTTGCTGTGTGGGAAATAAATATCTGTGTCGAGTTTGCCTCGACTTCAGGTGCTTATTCATCAGGTACTTGTTTCCGCCCTAGTGTCACAGCCTGCCTACGATGCCTTGTTCTGTTTCAGACTTTTGATGGATCTTGTGCATCTGCTATGTACAGGGCGCCGTCCCCTCTGCGACTGGGAGCACGGTAGCTGTGGTTTTAGGGGAGGAGAACGGGTACACGACAGCTGCCCTGCTGAGAAGAAACATGCTGGTGGTGTCGGTACTTAGCCGCAGGCTGCACGTGTGGATGGGGTCTAAGGGGCGGAGGATCAGATCCACGCCCATCGACATGACGTTCGCCGAGCGGGCGATGGCGTACCGGGCGGGGCAAAAGCTTCCTGACGAGTTCGACCCGCTGCCAGCAGCCCCCGCAGAGACTACCACAGCACCCTCCTCGAAGACAGCCGGGACGGCAACATCTCGAAAGGGGAAGGAAAAGGTAGCTTCGACGGGGGGAAAGCAAGGGACGGAGAAGAAGACAGGGCCCAGTGCGTCTGGGAAGGGGGGCAAGTCGGGGAAAGTCACCGGGGGCAAGAAGGGGCCAGCAGGCGCCGTGTCAGGCTCTGGAAAGAAAAACGCGGCGAGCGGTGCGGCGGCAGCCGCTAAGAAGGAGCCCGCGAAGAGGAAGGGTCCTGTTGCGGCGGAAAAAGAGGGTGAGAAGGCAGGAGGGAGCGAGCCCAAAGAGAAGAAACAACGGCAGAGGAAAGAGAAGGGGGGAACGGCGGAGGGAACGGCAGAGGGCGGCGGAGAGGGCCCTGCTAAGGACACGAAGGCCAAGGGGAGGAAGAGAAAGTCCGAGGGGGAAGGGGGGGAGAAAAGAAAGAACGGAAGAAGCGAAACAAGGGGGGGGAGAAGGGCGGAGAAAAACCGGCCGAAGGGGGTGGAGGTGGACCGTCGGCCGTCAGCGATGAGGCGACCGAGAGCAGCCAGAGAGCGCCACGTGAGGAGTCACCAGCCCCTAGCCATGCCGAGGCCTTGGCTTTTGTCGATTACCTGATAGAGGAGCCCGAGGATTGAAGATGCAGCACTTGAGGATTAGGAATCTCGCAGTGTGATGGGAACAATGTCACTAGTAGACAAAAGAGAGTGAGCTGAAAGATAGAAGAGCTTCGTAGATAACTAATTGCAATCAACAATTCGGGAAAAAAACAACGACAAACTAAGAATACGACTGTAAATAAAAAAAAAAAACCACCAACCGACGAACTATTCTGGAATGGATCTGTTTGCTTCAAGCTCGTGATCTCATACCGACCGGGCAGTCAATCTCTCGGACTACTCAATGCACGACCGCGGCATGAAGTGACCGTGATATTTGATCATAGTCAATTCGTGATTTCGAGACGAGCCGCCACATGCTAACGAAGATCATCGCATCGGTTGCAGTCTCGAGTTCCATCATGTCCTCACCGGCAAGAACAATAGCTGAGCCGCCGGTGACTTTGTCCGAGTCATCGGACAGCGAAGATAGCGATGATATCGTCGTGCGAAGTTCGGAGGGGACGGTGGACTTGCGCAATTACAAGCGGTTCGCAATAAGCGGTGATAATATGAACTGCTTCTTCATGACTGCATTTGTGGTGGCAACATTGAACGGAGAGCCCCTAGGAGGGGGAGAGGAGCTTGCTGCCCAGCTGCGGGCTGGTCGTCGCCCAATCGACTTAGAGAAAGAGGGGTTGAAGGTGCGCGCAACGATAGTTGCCTACCTGCGTGACCACAAGAAGAGGCCTATCCCCCCGCATTTGATAACGTCCTCGAGGCCCCCGAGCAAACGGCGACCATTGCCAACGTGGGAAAAATTATACCAAGCGCTACGGGACGAGGACGATTTGACTGAATTCGAAACTTACGTAGACAGAATGTCGCAAAGCGGATGCTGGGGAGGGGACTTCGAGAAAAGGGTCGTATGGGCGATGGGCCACAAGGTAACGGTGGCTAAGGGGGAAAATAGGAGGAAGATAAGGATCTACCAACCCCAGATGGAGTTTGTACAGTTGAGAGAAAACGAGGCGGTCTGGTACCACGTCGCGGAGTGTCATTACGATGTGTTAATGCCATAAAGACCGTAACATGTAGGATTAAAGGCAGTAAGGGAACTTCGCAGACAGAGAGTGTTTTGCTTGATAAAAAGTTGATGTTGGTTGAATTGCACTGTCAAAATATATGTTGTCGACTCGAGTCGAATGACAATAGTCTGTGAATAGCATCCATGATAAATGAACGTATATGCAATCCCTGAATCATGAAGTGGCAGAATGGACAGCAATGATGTCATGCTAATAGGAGGAGACACTGACATGCAGAATCTTTCTTGCACAACTGCCTGCAATTATGTTGACTGAATTACCACCCGTGTATAACCCCGGGTATAACCGAGAAAAACCGCAGCAGTCGTGCATAGAGCAAGCCCGTCGGTAAAGGATGTACAGAAAGCTAGCCTAGGTGTGCGTGCTCCCGCTCTCAGCTACCTAGTACAATCACGGTCCAGATCTTCGAAGTATAGCCAATTACCCGTGGATTTTGCAAGCCCTTCTGCTGACGTCAGCAAGGCGACCGCGAATACTGCGCGCGCCCCTAAAAAGCGGGCATACGACTACTTTGAGCGCTATGACGTCAGATTTGAGCCGATAACGCTCAAATTTCCAGCGGTACCGCTCAAATCTGAAGCGGGGCGCTCATACGCTCATGGCCTAAGGCTCATCCCGAGAAATGGCTCCGCTGGTACCCCAGCTCCGGCTATTAGATCGCCAGTAGCTAGCTGTGTCAAGCTGTGGGAAGCCCCAGATGCCGAGGTAGGACTAGTTTGACGTTTAGTAAGTAAGTTCTACCTACTATGGGCGTGGTGTCTAAACTGTTTTCTAGTGTCAGCCAGATCACCGCAATTCGCGACAGGAGACAGCCCCGGCCCCCCCTGGGGGCCAAACATGGGTCTATAGGGTGCTGAAAACAGCTCAAAGGCTGGTGGCGACAGGGGACAGGGGCGGGGGTGGGGGGGGGAGCCTTGCGGTGATCTGGTTGGGGCTTGAAAGCCTTGCGGTGTATACAGCTGTGTGTGGACCGTAACGGTGTACCTATCTACTATCCAACTAGTAAAAAGACCTTACTGCGCCACCTACATTAGCTTTCAGGACATGCACACACAACCGGTACCGGTACAATCGTTAGCGCTAGCCAAACATATTGAATGTGTTTAAAAAGCCTCTTATTGGAACCACTTCTCCCCTCTATCATCGACAATATTCTTGTCATGTACAACTAAACATGCGAGCAATCAAACAGAATTGGAAGGTTGACTCTTAAACTCCTAGAGAATGAGAACATGATGACTCGTTTCATTCTCTCAATTTCAAATTCACTCGGTGCAGAAACAGCTCCTTCTGCTCATTTTTGAATTCACCGAAACTCAATATAGTTCACTTGTATGTGCATTGAAATTCGAGAGCATCTGGTAGGAGGGAATTTCCCCCTTTCTTGGGGGAATCATAATTCGAAGTAACCATCCCCTTTCTTGATCGTCAATCGATGCAACCTAGCACATCGGGCTTGCTACATCTGAAGACGTCAGTCAAAAGGCTCAACGTCGCCGAAGATCGTGCTCGGCCTTCCATTGTAAGCTTCAAAAGCGGAGCGCAGTGGCATAGGTCGCATGGTGAAGAAAGAATCACCACGTGATCCAGCCTGGGGAGGGGGTTCGTCCTTTGCAGCCAATCATGTGTAGGATCCTTTATTCTTATCTAAACTCTACTTCGTAATATCATTGACTGAGTGATGCGCGCAGCTTCTGATAAGATGTCTCAGAGCATCAACAATTGACACTGAAGACACTGTCCAGTAAAAGCTTCACATTAGACTAATGGGTTGGGCGGTATACTCCTAGTGCGCCCTATTGACCCTATACACACATTTGATGGCCATCCCTCCGGGCCCGAAGACATGCCCTGCATTCGCAAACCAGAAACTCAACTTGCCGCAGAAACTACTGAAGCAAGCCCGTATATCCTGACAGTATGCTGAGTTTCTAGCTGTCATATGCTACCAGTTGGCGGGAGACGTTTGCGCTCCTTCGTGCAGTATTGCCCCACGGTCTACCGCTTGCCCTTCTTGGAGGAGCGCTTGTCAGCAGTGCCCTCCTCCTCATCCTGCACACCCAACAGACTGGAGATGTCAAAGGCGAGGCACAGCGTTGTCCAACCAGAAATTTAACGAATGATCGAATAGAAAACCATCGCAGCAGCAAACACTTGAGTTGATATCATTACGGTCAAGGGAGGACCGTGCGATTAGACATGGGCTGGATTGAAGGTCGTTGGTGGCAACCCAACACCATCGCACAATCACCATAGCACGGGAACACAGCGGATTCATCTGACAGAACCTGCAGAACGTCCTGCCTTATTTTCTTTCATTGTGAAAGTTGTTTCAAGAATTCAGGGGTGGTGAGAGAACTACAGGGAATCTCTATGCGTCTTGCAAAGGAAGTGTGTTTTACAAGAGTGCACTCAAGCTAGGACAAGCAGAAGACCAGGGATAAGCTGATGAACGGAGAGGTTCGTCAGGGCAGTCGGGGGGGCAAAACGTATGTGTAAATCCGGAAACATCGAAGGGCTTTGAAAAGGCTCTCATAATTGACAAACCGACCAAAGACTGGACGCCAATCAAAAGTTTCAACGTCGAAAAGAACAGGCCAGAGCCCCGGTAGAGTCAATTGGCTTTTAAAACCGTTACCACTGTACTGAAATCAACAAAAGCTTGAAAGAGGAACAGATACAAGGCAGCCCACTGACCCGATGGTGGCCGGTGGCGCCGTTCTCGTGCGCGGGCCCGTTCTCGTCCTGGCGCTCCTTCTTGCGCTTCTTCTTGTCCTTCTTCTCCTTCTCCGCCCGCTCGCGCTCCTCAGCCTCCCTGTCCGCGGTCTCCTCTGCGCGCCCCGTGACCTCGGCCTCGCCCTCGTCGTCGCCCCCCTGGCCGCTCCCCTCCAGCAGGCCCTCAGCCTCCTCCTCAAAGTCCTCCAGGTGCATGTCCTCCGTCATCGCAGGGGCCTCGCTCCCGCCGGGCATGTTCTTCTTGTTCCTGCATCGCCAGGGTGGGGACGATCGTGAGCGACGGACAGACCAAGTGCCATACAAACCGTATGTCAAGTGGGCAGACAACAGTCTGCTGAGCAGGCTCGTTTGGTTGATGCACCCATAAATAAAGACCAACCTGAACCACAGCAATGCGGTGTTTGATTCCATTTGAAGAACAAAACGTTGCTGGGCGGGTTTGAGGTGGTGACACACCGCCTGCCTTTAAGTAGCCACAAGCAAGCCTCCGCAATCTACAGCGGAATGGAGCGAGTCCTATGGAGAGGCCACACTGCAAAGATAGAATTGTTTCGCTGGGAAAAACCCTTTGACACTCATGCAAGCAAAGTCATGATAACAAAAGGGGCACGAGCTGTCCCGCACTTCCTGGTTGAGAACTTTCTATTGTATCAGGACGGGAAAAAAGACGCCTGTAAGAGCGGGTCCCTGTAGTAGAGCTTAAATTCCAGTGATTTACCCCTTTGAGACCAGCTAAAACCAATCAGCGAAGGGGCAGAATTACAGACGCACTTGGTGGAGGTCTTCCAGTCGTGCGCGACCGCCTTGAAGTGCACGGTGTTGGGGATCTCCGGGTTCTGCGCCTTGCGCAGCTTCATCTGCTCCGACACAAACAGGTTGTACGCGCTGGGGGGCCGCTTCTCCTTCTTCTCTTTCTTCTCCTTCTTCTTCCGCCCGTTCGCACCACTCTTGCCGCTCTGCGACGGTTCCACATCGTGGTCCAAGCTGAAGCCTGCACAGAAGCGCAGAAAGGGACGAGGTCAGACCGGCGAAAGGTTCTTCTGCTCACAGTTGCAGAATAAGGTCACCCTCTTGATCCATTTGGCGTACCTGCCGAAAGGGGCAGCAAAGGGTCAGTGCTGTGACAAAACTATGCAGCATAAAAGGTTTCTTCACTTCAGTATGAAAGCTTATCTACAAGAAACAATCAGGCTTGTCCTACTTGTCAATATTGAGAAGCAGAAGATTGGCAAAAGAAGCCAGGTTCCTGAGTGCAGAAAGTGCTGTGCATGTCTGCGATCGTGGTGGCAATGTATTCTGGTAGGACAGGGCGTCTCTTCATGCTCAATGTCCAGCCCACATTTGGTTTGGAGCCTTTTCCGAAATCTACGTCTGTCAGCCCACAATACAATCTTGTGCAACAAAGCTGCAGCCAACCTCTGAGATTCGAGCGTGCAGCATTAACCTGAAAGTCACACTAACAGTTAGATCATCAGAGCGATTTTTTAGCAGTATCCTTGCCCGCCCTTCCAAGCGCCCATTACAAACAGAATGGTGATCGTGCTCATCATCAGAAAATTGTTGTACGCACGTCTCATCAAGCAATGTTAAGTCACAGCACCAAGGTGCGTTATAGAGCGATGGTATTGGTTCACAGGTCTCTTCTGCAAGCTGACAGAAAGAGGATCAAAAACAGGAGCCATCCACACGTGCGAAACCCCAATTAGTGTCAGGCTATCCTTGCTGGTGGTTGTGGCGCACATTGTTCAAATAGGCAGCCAACATTATGTGTAGGCAGTCAGCATTATCCTCGTAGAGAATGATGCAATTTTAGGATCAGCAGTACTCTGCCCTTGGCGGTGTCACCCAAACTCACAGAGAAGGAACCCGCAGAACATGCCGACTTCTTGCTGTAGGGCCACGGGGCCTGCAGCCACAGGTGCCAACCTTGAGAAACTTGCACCTTGAGAAACTTTTACCTGAAGCCTCAACGGGCTGCTCTCCGGAAAGAGCCCTGGCTATGGCCCCAAAAGTGTACTCCAAGCCCCGAGCACCAGCGAGGAGAACATTCCTCCACATGTGGGTATCGACGTCCGACATAGCTCAATGCCACCAATGCCCAGCACAGCTCGCTAGGAGCGCCACATAGGAGGACTGCTAGTGGGACCCCAGGGGCCAAGGCTACTTCTTAGGAGGCCCCACCACGGCCCTTTTGAAGCCGCTTGAGGTTCAGAAGCGCTCTGCGCTCACCTACTCAATGCTGTCAGAGTTGAAGTGCCAGCATTGCCTTTGATACTGGTTGAGAACTTCTCGTAAAGGCACCTGTGACATGCATCGAGGTGGGTAAAGGCGGGAAAGGCGCCCGTTTGAATACTGTTCAATACCTACAACTGTTCGGCGAAGTTCGCACTTCCAGAGAGGAACCTTACCTACCGGTATAATAAAGGTTCGTTCATACCTAGGCTATTGCGCCGGATCCCATCAGACCTCCGAAGCTAAACGCCTGTGGGCGAGAATAGTACTGGAATGGGTGACCTTCCGGGAAGTCCTCGTGACGAACCCACTCCTATTGCACCATTGGTATAATAAAGGTACGAGGTCCCTCAAGAGGCGCTCATACCGTACGTAGCTTCTGCGCAGACGACCATCCAAGAAGACGCTTAAAAAACAGGCCATACCTATTCTGCAGCCTGAGGGTCAAAGGAGTGATGCTTCTAGTGCGAACCTTCCTCTAGGGTGCAGTAAAAGTTTCTGGCAGCGGTTTGAAGCGGCCCGGCATCTCGACAAGCAGCGACTGTGCTGACCTGAAAAAACTTTGTGGCGCCAGCTTGAAATGGCAAGCAGAGCCTACTATCAATATTTACAAAGATTCACAGTGCAAGGTTTGGAAGAAAAAGTTGTGTCGCAAAAAGCTTTGCAGAGTGCTTTCAATCAGCTTCATCTTGCACCAATTCTGCATTTAGGTTCTGAGACAAAGCGGTTCTCTGCAAAGGGTGGTGGCATAAGTGAAACGTCTAGATTACTGCCCCCAGCATTGTGCTTGCATCAACAAGAATGCATAGGGTGCAGACGAGTATCAACTAGGGCTGTAGCTGAAGGTCTGGAGTCAGTGGGTGGTGCACATTTGGACTTACAAGGTAGCAGCTTTCAAGAGGGAGACGAGCAGCGGTGGGTGCACTTTATAGGCATTGGGGGAAGCGGCCTGTCGGCGCTTGCCCTGGTTGCGTCTAGGCAGGTGGGTGTTCTTTTGCGAGGTCGCATCTACAAGATTATCTGAACTCTTCAATTCTACATTCATTTGCCAGTCTGTCTGAAAACCCTTCAATCGTGCCATTGAGAAGGTCGTTAGAGACTCGCTTGTGATTTGACCTTTTGCTTGCAGTTATTTCCCCACTTTAAGAAAAGCATCCCGGCCTCAATGCAAGCAACAAGTACAACACTCATTATACTTGGTTTGTTTCTGTGTCTGCCTTCCTTTCTTTCAACTTTGGAACATAGTTTAAAAAGGTTTTTTGCAACTGTAGCTAGTCTGCGAAAGAGGAATTTTCAAATAGAAAGAATTGACTCCCCTCGTTGTGCAGGGATGGAAAGTGACTGGCTCAGATCTGGCTGAGAGTCAGATGCTTATCAGCGTGAGGGAGGCTGGCATCACTGCGCATGTGGGTCATTCTGCAGACCACATTACAGATGCAGCACGTCCTGATGTGGTGGTCGTCTCTAGCGCCATCCCTGATGAAAACCCCGAAATCAAAAGGGCCAAAGAGCTGGGAGTCCAAGTGTAAGGGGCCACCAACATTTCTCCGGTTCGTCTGTCCATGATATTCCATTGACGGGACCATAAGGAACACATTGATTCTCTCTTCGTCTGGGTCGAGCTAGCGGTCAAATGATGATGACAATGGACTCGTTGCTTTCCTTTCAGGAGACAAGTGTCAACTGCTTTTGTATGGACGACCCTGTCTTTAGGGAGAACGCAAGACCCTGCAAGTTAAGCATTGCCCTGACGTTTTTTCATAGTTGATTCAAGAGTCAGAGTTGCATAATTGGAACACATTCTTCCATGTATTTCTGGTGCAGATGCAAGCGCAGTGAGTGGCTGGGCCTTCTTACAGCGCCGTACAAGCTGCTGGCCGTTGCAGGGAGTCACGGTAAGCACAGAGCCGCTCGGGTTGAAGGTCATACAAGATTGCATGGCAGGGGCCTGCTGGCAGGAATGTGAAGCATCAATTATCTGCTCTCCACAATCTCAAGACAAAGGTTCGGCAGTGCACCACTTCCCCAGCCTTTGTATCCAAATCGCTGGATCTTACGCAGGCAAGACGTCGACCAGTGCCATGCTGGCAGTTGCTTTGAGGAGCCTGGGCAAGGACGTGACAGCGGTCATTGGAGGAGAGGTGTTCCAGGTAAGGACATTTTGCCCCAAATGAATCCGGATGCACAAGAGCACCTGGAGCACGTGTGCTAGCACACCCAGGAAGGATGCCTTGGCCAATATGCTGCTGATGACTTCCGCTGATGAAGGCACTGAGGAGGCCCGCCGCTGTCTGCCTGTCTCGGAGCCTTCCGTAGCTCACTGTGTTCATTGCTTGTGCAGTTTCCAAATGAAGCGAATGCAGTGATTGGCAGCAGCGACGTCTTCGTTCTTGAGGTGGGTGCTTTCACGATCATCATCACTAAGCTACACGTCTTTATAGCTCTGGAGCTTCTCCCTTGATGCGGAGTCTCTGGGATTGGCTGTGACCGCACCTTGGACTGGTCCTGAAATGCTTGTGAAGCGAGACTCTGTTACGCATCTGTTGACATGCGTACACCCGTTTTTCCTTTCACTGCAGTCCGACGAGTATGACGGTGCGTTTCTGGACCTGCGGCCTCGGATTGCGGTGGTCACAAACGTGGAGTGGGAGCACGTGGACATCTTCCCGGACGAGGTGAGGCGCAGCTTGGAAGAAACCTGCCTTTGCGCTCCAAAGAAGCGACTCTTTATTGTGCTTGTGAGCTGCAGATGGGCGGCTGATGGGGGCCTCGCAGAGAAGCAACCCGAAGCTCTGCAGAGCATCTGGTAGTGCATTGCACGATAGATTCGCGTCTCAAGGAACTGATGTGAACGAGAGTACATGTTGGATCGGTTCTTTGGTTGTTGAGGTGCGATGGTATGACGACCTACTTGAAGAGGTCCTTCTGACAGCCACCTCGCTTGCGTGTAGGAGTCTGTCCGCACAATCTTCAGGAGTTTCGTTCAAACGCTGAGGCCTGGAGGCGTCCTTCTTCTGTGCAATGAAAAGTAAGTGCCGGAAGAATGTGCGATCGTGGATCAGAGGCGAAGCTCATCTGCATTTTAGGTTATATACCACACGTCAGCCGTTTGAAAGATGGAGCAGGTCCAAACTCAAAAGGAGAGTATAAACGAAGCAACCCCATAATGGTTTGCCCCTGAGCTGCGGGTTCCTTGCAAAGCTTTCCTTTGACTTCGTAGCTAAACAGTCTTTCGAAAGCCGGCTCTTTCTAGGTGTTCGAAACTTTTGTGCTTGTGTATCAGCTGCTATCAGCCAAGGACTGGGGCTTAGGACGGCTCAATAGCGGCTTCTTCATGACGATGCATTGCCACCACGGTGGGCACATCACTCACCGCAAGCAAGCTCGCTCACTGACGTGCTTTCACTCCGCTTGACTCTTCTTAATCGGCGCTCCTTGGTTCCCGCAGCCCGGGCTCCCAAACTCTTCTCGACGCATACCTTGACGACCGGCCCTCCCTGCGCCGTCAGATCTTCACCTACGGGCTGGGGCCTTCATCCGACTTCCGGGCTGAGGAGCTGCGGGCCAATGCGCGCGGCGGCACCAACTTCGCGGTGACCTACTGCGGACGGCCCCTCGCTGACGTCAGCCTCGGCTTCGCCGGCACACACATGGTGCTCAACGCTCTGGCGGTAAGCGCGTACTGCGAGCTGGTAGTACTGGTCTTGCGAGGAAACGGGAGCGGTCTGACCAGTTTGTTGTAGATTGTGCGTAACGAACCTGCAGATGGCTGTCCTGTTATGCAAGTCTTTTTTTGGTCTTCTGCAACGAGCATAATCATCTTTCGAGAGAAGAAAACAGGGGCAAGTTTTGACTTCGTTTACATGCCTGTCAGTTCCGCTCGAGAAAATGTCGACAACTTCTCTCGAACACATTTTGAAGCTGCTCGCAGGGTGATAAAGCTTGCGTGGTTTGTCAATCAGATACCTTTGAAAGTTCTTGTTTTCCTGGCAAGAAGCCTGAGCGGAAGACCGACCACAGACTACTGCCATCACTAGAACCTCCTCTGCTTCTCTCACCGCACGCTCGATGGTATCTGCAGGTGCTGGCTTTGGTAGTTCTTCATATCAACGAGGCCCGGCCACGCTCCGCCCACGCGCGTCTGGACACCTCTGTGGTGCGGGCGGCTCGGCAGGCGGCCCAGGCGCTTGGCACCTTCCAAGGTGTGAAAAGGCGCTTCGAGCTGGTCGGGGAGGTCCCGGGTTTGAAGGTTTATGACGACTACGCGCACCACCCGACGGAGGTTCGGGCAACTTTGCAAGCGGCCAGGCAAAAGTTCCCCAACAAGAAAATATGGGTCGTCTTCCAACCGCATACTTACAGGTGCGAGCTTCCTACTCTGTCTGTGTTGTTCGTAGGATTCATTTGCGGACATGGTCCATAAAACAGGAGTGCTCGGCATCTGTCGTCGATCAAGATTGAGAGCGACCATTCCTTCGATACTGAGCTCGTTTTCCTTTTCGAGCTTTCTGATGACCATTGAGGAAGTGCGGGCTAGTCTGGCTCGGTTCCCTACTCCGCAGCTCAGCGATGGCTCGGCGCGGTCTCCGCTTGTCGCCTCTTCCGCGAATTCCCCTGCTAGTCTCATACTGACAGCTCATATATCGGCTGTGGCTCGTGCAGCCGCTTGGCCAAACTGCTCCCTGACTTCGCCCCCGCATTCACCCAAGCTGACCGGGTGATCGTTACTGAGGTTAGGGCCTCGGTACTCCTTCATTGCCGCTCACACGACGGCCTTTGACTTCCACTTAGTCCATATTCGCGGACGTTGTTCCTCACTATCTTCAGTTTTGCTTCTCACAATGTTGAAGAACCTCGGAAAATAGAGAGTGACATCTCCGAGTTTCCATGATTCAAGCCAGTCCAAATGTGGCGTGCTCAAAGGCCGCGTGCAGAGACTCTTCACTGACTTCTTGACCGGCATGCTTCTTCCCTCCCATTGGGGGCTGGTCAGCTGGAAGGCTGTTGTGGCACCTGGGGATCATACTGTCTTCCCCGGATAAAGGGCTGATATTGGGTGCTCGACTTGCCCAGTTGCTCCTGGTAGGACAGTGCAGGGGCGTTCTTAATGACTCGCTGTAGTATAGCGGGGTTACTCGTCGGCGGGCTTAACGCTACCCCGCTTTTCCCGCAGGTTTACTCTGCCCGAGAGAAGAACGTCTTTGGCGTGTCGGGCAAGGATCTGGCGACTTCCATCAAGGGTGTCAGGGCGACATTCATTGCAGAGCTGGTGAGAGTGCCTGGGAGCAAGCTTTGGTCTTGGTGGGGAACATTGCTTGTAAATGGCTTGGAGAACTTGTCGTTGGTAAGCAAAGCGGTCGTGCTTGCAGCTATGCATCTCGCTGGTGTCTCAATTTTTGCTCGCTGCACTTCATGGCAGTGGACCTTTGAAATCAGTCTGGTAGAGGTACGAGACTTGGTCAGGAGATTTGGTATAGCAAGATGCTTTATTCACACGCTTTAATCCGGATGCAACATCGCATGTTGACTCGAAAACGTTTGCTGGCAAAAGTCTGTCGGCGCTGCCTGAGACACGTAGGCTCCTTACGGCGGTTTTTTATTTTCTTTGGACGACTCACACTCTGGCTCGAAAAGGAGTTACTTGGCGTCTTGAGTTAGCAGCCTCAAGAAGTGATTTTGCCAAGCAACGTCTGGAATCGTTTGGACACACCTGTACCATGGAGCTTGCAGCTAAGCCCTCTCTCTTGAAACACAGGATGACGTCGTTCAACGACTTGCCAGCGATGTTCTCAATCGGGACCTTGACGAGGATAATATTATTCTGCTTAATCTAGGAGCCGGAGACATCACAAGGGTCGGTCCTCGTGTATTGAGTGACTTGACGCGGAGTCTACGATTAGGTTAAGGCAGCCAAATTCGGGCGAAGCGCAATCTTGCAACATCAACGATCACCTGTGGTCAAAGATAATTGCGCTCACAGGAGTTCGCGTATACCACCCTGAAACAGAGAAACAAGACGATAGAGCATAGGCTATTGATCCCGAGAATGATGGGAGCACTAGCGATCAGAAGTTACGGATTGACCTTCGCAATCGGCTTTCGAATGTGAGCTGCACACGCCCCTCTACACTGCATGCAGCTAATGCTGATTCGTTTTGGCAATATGTTCAAGGATTTTAGCCGTTGGTCAGCAGCTTCAGTCATCGAATACATACAATGATCATGTTATGAAGCCCGTCACTACCACAGCATCTACGCTTTATTGAGTGCGTACTAAGACTGGCGGGTTTGGGGCCATCTTTTCACATAGGACCATCAAGCCATGAGTTCAATCGATATCTGCATGCGCAGGGTTTTAGGCCGGTACGTCACGCAAGGTCAAATTGAGCAAGGGCCTGAAGAGTGGCGATGACTCATGTTCTTTTTTCACGTTGACACCGTACTCGCAACATGAGCGCGGCCACTTGTGCGGCGGCGTCTTACACGGCACCGCTACGGCGCGACGCGCGGCTATAGGTATTTCCCGGGCCGAGGTTTGACCTCGACCGGCGGCCGCTCGACGTGCGACCTACAAATTACGTAATTTATCGACCTACATAGACCTCCGCAAAATCGGTATAACCTCGGCCAGATCGAGGTACCACGGTGCAATTATCGAGAGTACACTGCACTGTGAACTCGTACCCGAGTGCCGTACGGTGCCAACCGTAAATCAGGTACCGGCCGAGTTACACAATTGTCAGACTCCGAGTATCGCGTACCGTCGATTGAATTTCTGCGGGCATCATCGACGGTTTGCGGTGGCTGCCTAATTTGGCAATGGGCTCCAAAAGGCCCCATTCCAGGCTGAGATGCATTGACTGCAAACTATGTAATGTTGCACCGTCCAAATAACGGGGCCTAGGAGTCATGAGGAAGACGATCCATGAATTTCCTTCCGCAACTTGGCGCTTCACACCAAGCAAGAGGCCACCATGGCCATGGCTTCCAATACCTCTCGTGATGGAAGGCGGGGAAAAGGGCGATAAATTAGAAAGTTGCAACTTGATATTTAGGCCTTGGACTAGCTCCAACCAAGCGGACACCCCTGCCTTCTCTCATATTTGCATGTTATTTAGCTCTCTACTTGGCTCCATTTTAGAGGCAAAAGTCGAGGTTTTGTGTCCAGTGAGTATAGGGTGAGGTGAACAGTACAGTGATGTGAAAGCAACATCAGATTGCATTGCCATAGCTGAGGGAGCAGCTTTTGACGATTCACTGTACGCTGTGCATTGCTCTGCGAGAAAGCTACTATGTAGTGGTACAGAATGTGGTGCCCCTGTCCTTGAAGCACTGTTGCTCAGTTGATGGTGACGGGAAATCAACAACCTTCTGCGGCATTTCTTCTGCTGGGCTCAACGTCAGGGGAGCTCGTTGCGGTGAACTTGGTCGGCGTTGCCTGTTTTGACGCAAGCACTGTTGTGAGAGGAGGAGGAGGCACCCCTCTTGTAGATGTTGTGCATATGACCACCTTCTGAAGCAGTCTGCTTCTCATCGCTGCATGCCTGGTCACTGCTACTCTGACTGTCTAACTGCACCCTCCAGGGCGTTCCGCTCTCCTGTCTCTTTGTGATGGCGGGGGAGCAAGGGCGTCCGCGTGTGTACTCTCTGGAGGAGAGCAGTCACAGTGACACAGTCGCAGAGAGGCCAGCGCAGCTGCGCAGGTCCCCGCGGTTGGCAGCGCCGGCGCTTCCGAGGCAGGGGGTGTCAGAGAGCCAGGGATCAGAGAGGAAAAGAGTCCCTAGCCCTAAAGCCTCGTCCAAGGTTTTCAAAAAGCCTGGTCCTCCCAGCCAGAAATCCTCTGGGCAGCATGGGGCCGTGAAGTCGCCACAGCAGAGAGATTCTCCAAAAAAGGGGTCACCCAGGCAAACACCCCCGCAGAAAGCATCCCCCAGAAGGAAAAACAAGGTGGAGAACAGTCTGATCAGCGCAGGCAAGCGGACAGGTGGTAGGAAGCGGCAGGGCAGAAGGGGTTCCGGAAATGAAAGCGAGGACTCAATCAAAAGTTCGGAAGTGGATAGATTTATTGGAAGGATGCCGGCGCAGCCGCTGGATGCCCCCAGCAGCGAGAGCGAACTAGAGGGGGCCCTGTCATGGCCAGTCCCTGTGGGTATCCCGATCCCAGGACCTGAGAGGGTGGTGGTGTCCGTCCCTGACTTCCCCAGTCTCCACAACATGTGCCTCAAGCCCGGTCCTGGTGTGGAGCCGATTGGATTGGGAAACGAAGAAGTTGCGTTTGTCCCCCGGAGGGGTGCGGTGGAAGGGGCTCCGCAGGGGGGGCAGGCCGGGGTGCCTGAAGTTGAGGCTGGGGCCCCTGCGCCAATGGTTGGGACTCCCAAGCGGCCAGTCACGTACACGTTGGACAGGAAGTTCCCCAAAAACGCTTCTCCTAAGTGCGACAGTTGCCGGAAAAGCAAAGCGTCCTTCGACACCTGCAGCAGGCGGGGCCACCCGCTGGCCTTCTTCGTCCTTGCCCCCTCCCATGAGAGAGCACGCTTCTTGGAGGTCTTTGGCAAGCACTTTGAGAATGGGTTCTTCCCATCACAGGAGCCCCTGACCGTGATGAGGGCGAACGCAGTGGGGGAGGCTCCGAGCGGACGAGACGCCTCGGATGAGGACCCCGACGCTGCCGATGTGTCTGGTTCAGACAGGGGTTCAGAGTCGGATGCAGAGTCGAAAGATTGGGTGTCCAATTCAGACAGCGAGTGGGCCGCCCAACACCCCAGCCAGATTGAGAGGGATCGAGCCAGGCGTTATGCAGAGCGGCGGCGCAGGCGCACCTTGCGACACTCCCAGGCAGCGGATCCGCCAGTCCAACCCCACAACGCTGAGAGTAACCCTGCAGGCGAGTTTAGTGATGATGCCGGTGGTTTTCATCCTGAGGAAGAGGGGCCAGCGGCTAAGGAACAGGGGCAAGGGGGCCTCCACGAAAGCAATCATGCGGCCGGTGGGGAGGAGATTGTAGGACCAGATGTGCTGGTGCAAGCGCCAAGGTGGGCGCATGCGCACATCGTCGCCTCCTATGACGGCGAGCGTCCGGATATAGGCCGCAGGAGCCAGCTGCTGTTGCATCGGAAGGCTTCAGATGACAGCGAGTCGGCCAGTGACTGGGGCCCTGATGGCGACACGTCGTCCGATGAGGAGCGGGCTGGGGAGCAGGCAGGGGTCCAGGAAGGCGGGCGGGAAACAGAGGCGAGATCTCAGAACGTCCCCGAGGGACTGCAAAGCCAGGAGGCGGCGGTTACGGACGGGGTGGACCTAGACGAGGTAGTCCCGGAGACGGAGGAGGAGGAGCCTCGACCTGCTGAAAGTGGCGGTGAAAGAGTTGCTGGGCCTCTGGGGGAGGCGCCTGCAGACTTGCCAGTTGCAAACGGGCAGCCACTGGAGGGCGCGGAAGCTGATTCAGAGGCCACTCAAGATGCCGTTCCAGGGGATCGGTAAGCAAAGCTTCTGTTTCTCAAGATGAGGAATGGAGCACACCACCAAGCTCAGAAGAGGCAACTTGGTGATGAAACTTAGCAGCGTTGTATCTTGCCATTCATGCCGAGTCCAGGAACACGCTTCCAGGTGCATTTTGTTTCCCTGCGTGGTTTTGACAGTCCACTCTTTGAGGTCCTTTTCACTTCTGACTTTCTCTTAAGATTCTCTTGAAGAATATTCTAGAACCTTTAAAGAGTTTGTTGCCATATTCCCTTCAATGCTACAAATTGCACAAAGGTTTCTTTCCAGGGGCCCCAGTCTGGTACACGTGTCTTCTGAATCTCTTCGAGCTGCTCGCCTGTGTTCTTTTTGTCTCGTGCTGTAGAAGATAGATCTTCTGTTTGCTTTGGGGTGTTGAGCTGAAGCGCCAAATTCGCTCTTCTGGCAGCCAAGGTTAGGACATGGCTGATGTCGTCAAAACATTTCTATGCACCAAAATAACTTGGGACCTCGGTTTGAAATTTACTCCGCATTATCGTTTATCGCAAACGAATAGGCTGTTACAAATTTGGTTAATCATGCAACGAAAGGAATGTCTATGCAAAGAAGTAGCAGCATACCATTCTGCTAACATAACCTGGATGATCCTGCAGGTATGGTCCGTTGAGGTCGCCGGTGCGCGCGCCACGAGCAGGCACTGTGCCTGCTGCCAATGGCAACGGCCACGGAGGAAGCTTACCAGCACAGTCCTCAGAAGGAACGGAGTCGGACGAGCGACCGCGGTGGAGGAATATCATGAGAGCACCGCGTGGGGACGATCTGGAGGAGGAGCCTTCAGCTGGGGAAAAGAGGTCCCAGCAGAGTGCAAAACCAGGCGGATCGAACGGCCCTGCTGAGGTGAGAGGTGCCCCCAGTTTATTTGCCCCTGAGCAGGTGGGAAACGAGAACCAGGGGCGGGGGATGGCGGCGCTAGTTGGGCCTGACAGCACAACAGTGGACGAAGGGGCGCAAGGACCTGCGCACTTGGAGGGGGAGCCAGCAGTTGACAGCCCTGGGGTGGCTGCAGGGAACAGGGGTGCTGGCTGGAGGGGTAGAAGGGTGGTTCATCAGTCAAGGCCTGTCAGCCCAGTTGCGGCCGCAAAGCCCTCAGTAGAGCAAGGCCGGGAGAATGATGAAGAGGGGGCGTCCTCTGGTGGGTCGGAAGAGATCCATGGAAGGAGAGGGAGCGACCGCAGGCAATTTGGGAAAGTGGAAAGAGTTCGAGGGAAAGCGCGGGCTGGCGGAGGAAACCGGGTTGGGCAGGACGCCGTACTGGAAAAAGCTGCGGCGGCAGGCGAAAGGGAGGGCGGTGCTTTGAAAGAGGGAGCCTCAGACAGCGGCGAAGAGTTTGGGGAAAGGGTTTCAGACGGAGGAGGAGAAGGGCAGCCGAGAGAAGAGGACCAAGAGGTGACAGGGGCGGGACACCTTGAGGAGGGCAGGGAGAAGGAGAAGGAGCCACCTGGAGGAAACTCAGCCGAGCAGAGGTCAAGCGAAGAGAAGTCTGGGGACGAAGAGGAGTCGGCTGCAGAGGGTCAGCCGGGCCGCAGCGCGCGTGTTGAAGTCCCGGGTGCGGCTGCGGGGCAGCATGCGGAAGTGGGGGCAACACCGGGGGTACTTGCCAGACAGGAACCAAGTACTCCCTTTCACGCGGAAGAAGACTCGGAACGGGTGCCTGACAGTGAAATAGAGTCCGAAAGGAGGCGTGCGCAGGCTGCTGGTGGGTTCTCTGAGAGTGAGGGGGGGAGTGAGGAGGTGCACTGTGGAACTCAAATTCCGGTGGCCAAGCGGGAGGCAGGCAGCGGGTCGAGTGAGGCGTCGGAGAACGAGGAGTCGGAGAGTACAGTGCAGGAGCCACACGGAAAGGGGCTGACGCTTGCAAGATCAGGTAGGACACTTCGAGCTTTTTGATTTATTGAACTTCCGCAATTTGCATTTGGCTGAGGGCTCAAGGCCCAAAAGCTTTGTAACCAAGAGTTGCTTTGCGGGCTAGCACAAAAAATCGAGAGGATTGAACTTGTCGAGTTTCTCTAGCTTTCAAGTGGCACACTGCTTTGAGGTCCAGATAAACAGAAGGAGTCCCTGCAAAGTCGTGATATGTAACACCTGCAGGTTGCATCTTCCATTGTGTACGTCGAGGTGCTTGCATCCTGTTTGACTGCTTTTAGCCAGCATCTCGAACGCTGACACCCTCTTCCCGGAGCCAAAAGTGCTCGCAAATAAGTTGACTAGAAAGCAAGGGAGTAGCCCTCGTTTTGTCCTCTCTTGGAGCCTGAAAGAGAGCCTTATGCTGCTTCAGAGCAGATGTCGGATCGCAGCCTTAAAGTCGAGGGGGATTATAGATTTTGCATTTGCAGACCATGCACACGAACTCTCAGCTCCGATCCACCAAAATCTGTGATGAGAGTGACTGATTATCCTTAGCACAAAAGGAAGTGGCTTGGCGCTCAAGGGGAGTCTCAAACCTTCTGGCTTTTTGCAAGCCGGACAGAAGCTGCATTCAAGGGCCGTTTGGAGCAACAGCTGACCCTGCTTCTCTTCACTGCAGAGGCCAGAAACGATGCCGCTACTGAGGATTTAGCGAACGACTCGGAAGGATCATCGGAAGAGAGCAGCGAAGAGGAGTCTGAAGACGAAGATGAGCCAGCTGCCGGAACAAAGACAGAGAGGCGGAGGGACGGGCTGCCAGGGGCAGCGAAAGAGCGGGATGCGCAGCAAAAGACGGCTCACCAGACGGACTCTGAAGAGTCAGAGGAGGGATGCAATAGCGACTCAGAGTCGATTGGACGGGGAGAGGTCCCTGCTGAGGCACCTGTGAAGAGGAGCGAGGCAGCGGGTCGCGCTGGGGGGTTGGGGGCTGGGGCGGAAGCACGAGGGGAGATGCAGAAGGCTGCGGACCAGTCAACTTCGGATGAAGAATACTCGTCTGACGACTCGGAGGGTGACGCGCCCCCTGCGCCAAAGGCGGAGGCTCAGGAAGGGGTACCGCAGGCGGGGAGTCGGGGCCTTCCTGAGGAGTCCAGCTCGGATGAGGAGTCGGACGATGGGGAAGACTCTTCTGACGAGGAGCTTAACGACCGGCCTTTGAAGCGGCCACGGCTAGAATCGACGTTGAATAGCGCACCATCGGGGCCGCAGGCACCTGCTCCGGGGGGGCGGGGAAGCGGCGAGGTCCAAAGGGCCCCGCCAGCCAGCAGCAGCTCTGGTTCCGGGGAGTCGGGATCGTCAGAAGGGGCCGGCTCGGATCGCAGCCCGGAAGGAGAGTCGGTGTCTCAGCCGGCTGGCGCAAAAGATGGACCAACTGAGGAGGACGGGGATGATTCGGAGAGCAGTTCAGAGGAGAGCAGTTCAGAGGAGTTGAGTGAGGGAAGTGGGCCTGCGGAGGGCCCCGAAACGGGGCGGGCTGATGCGAACGCTGCCCAAGTACAGGAAAGCGAACATGCACCGGAAGAATATGAGAGTTCAGAGTCCGTGTCGGAGTCCTCGGGGGACAGCAGCGAGCAGAACGAACGGACGGCGCCTGCAGACGCCCCGCGTAGAGTAGAGCACGCAACGGAAGAGGGTTCGGGTTCGGAGTCAGAGTCAGAGTCAGAGTCAGAGTCAGAGTCAGAGTCAGAGTCAGAGTCAGAGTCGGGCAGTTCGGAGCAGACGGGCGAAATTGCGCGCGCACGCAGTGTGCCTAGGACGGATGCAAAGTTAGTGGATACGGCAGAGGGGCCTGCATCGAAGGGGGAAGCGGATTCAGATGTATCAAGCTCGGAGTCCGGATCCGAGTCGTCAGAAGGGGATAGTTCAATGCAAGGCGAGGGAGCTGCGGGTGAGCGCCGTCAGTCTGATGCGCGAAGCGCGCCCGCAGCCAGTCAGGCGGTTGCGGCTGCAGGGAAAATCTCGGAGTCGGAGTCAGAGTCAGATTCGTCGGAAGAAGAAATTTCGGAGCAAACCGGGGCGAAAGCGGTTGGGAGTCGGTCGGCAGCCGGGGATGCTGCGGGGAAGAGGCAGGTTGAGGCCAGCAGAATAGAGGGGTCAGACTCAGACTCGGAGTACGAGTCCTTTGATGAGGGAATTGGTTCGAAAGGAGAGGAGCGGGGTGCAGAGCGTGCCAGCAACACTCCTGAGGACAAAGAGAAGCCCTCAATTGATAGCTCAGACGAGTCAGAGTCCTCGGAGGATGACGAGCCTGTGCAGGGTGCGGTGGTTAAGGAAGCGGGGCAAGGGAACGAGAGCGAGGAGAATAGTCGGGGATCAGATTCAGTCTCGTCAGAGAGCGGTGAGTCTGCGGAGAGAGGCGGCAAGGTGGCTGCGAGTAGGCCCTCAACGAGAACCGAGCCGCCAGTGTCCTCTGAATCATCTGAGTCGTCAGAAGAGAGTTCAAAGTCTCCGGCAGCTGGCGACCTGATTGGCGCGCGTTCTGGTTCCGAAGCAGCGCCAGCGGATTCTTCGGCAAGCCAGCATTCTGAGGGCCGAGCAGATAGTTCGGGGCCAAGGCAAACGACGGCAGTGGTAGAGAAAGCGGCTGAGAGCTCGAGCTCCAGCGATGGTTCTGAATTTTCTTCTGACGAGGATGCGGTGGAGAAGGTTGGAAGCGGGCAAGGGGCAGCCGCTGGGAAGGCAGAAACGCAGAGTTCGGGAGAGTCTTCGGAGGAGAGTTCGGGAAGCGAAGAGTCTGCGGGAGGTGGGGAGCAGCCAGCGGCTCCCAAAAGTGGTGCAACGAGCCAGGCGGCGTCGGGTGGAAGTTCAGACGAGGAGACTTCAGATTCGGAGAGTGAAGAGTCCGCACCGGCAGCAGCAGAAGCCAGGGAGACACGAGGAAGGGCCCCTGCGGCGACTGATGGGAGCTCGGACGAGGACGAGTCGGATTCGGACAGCGGGGGTTCTGCAGGAGTGAAGCCAGCAGCAGGAGCGAAGGAGACCAGCGCAAAGGGCGGTGCAGCTGCTGGAGAAAGCTCGGATGAGGAGTCTGAGTCGGACGAAGAGGTGTCGGACGACCAGCAGCAAGTCGCTGTTCGCGAGAAGGTGCCAGCAGGCGGGACAGCGGCGTCGGGCGGCGCATTGGAGGAGCGGGCGGATCCTGGTTCAGTGTCAAGGGAGCAGGTGCAGATCAAGCAGAGCAGCGACTCCGTGGATCGGGACGAGAGCTCGGCAGGGGGGTCCGGGGAGGAGTCGGAAGAGGAGTCGGATGAAGCATCGGAGGAAGAATTGCAGGAAAGGTCAGGGAAGTCGAAGGAAGGGCCAGAAGAAGCCTTGGAGAAAAAGTCAGTGGAGGACTCGGGAGAGGAGTTGGAGGAAGAATCAGAGGCGGTCAGCGAGAATAAGGTAGTTGCAGCAGCAGAAGGGGAGAGTGTGAGTTCCGATGGAGGGTCCGAAAGCGAGGAGTCTGATCAAGAACGGGAGGCTGACTCCACTCGAGCGGCGGAGACTGGACGGACGGGCCAAGGTGGGACGAGGGGCGTGGCGAAGGTGGCAGAAGGTGGTTCCAGCAGTGAAAGTTCTGACGAGGAAAGTTCAGAGGAGGAGTCGGACAGCGAGCGTGTGCCGTCGAGCAAGGGAACCGATAGCGGGAAGGCAGATGCGGGCAAGAGTGCAGCTGCAAGGGACGTCAAAGTTACCGAACAAACGGATTCTTCAGAAGACGAGTCGTCGGACCCTGAGGAGGACAGCGAACCATCAGACCGGGCTGCGGAGAACGACCCTGCGAATGTGAAGGAGACTCCGATAAGGCGTGCAGGCAGCAGCGAAGAGGGGGGGCCAAGGGAAGGGCCTGACAATAAGTCAACGACTGAGTCAAGCTCAGGGGAGGACGAGTCCGAAATCGAAAGCGGAAGCGACGGGGAGCAGGAAGCCGCTGCCACAAAAAAAGGAGAGCCGCAGGTTTCTGCAAACGGCGGCGTAACGGGCCACGTGGCTGGCAAGAAGAGGGCCAGAGAAGCGACCCCAGACAGCAGTTCGGAGGAGACTTCAGAGTCAGAGTCGGACGAGGGTGAGCGAACCGAAGGGAGGGGAACAGGGCCAGTTTGGGGGGCGGGCATTGCCAAAACGGACGGAGAGAAGGGGGTGGTGGGGAATCAGAGAGCCCCCGAAAAGGCTCCTGCTGCACGCAAAGGATCTGAGGGCTCGGAAGAAGAGGCGTCAAGCTCGGACGAAAGCTCTTCAGACTCTGAAACGGAGGCGCCAGCTCTCAAGTCGATCGGCAAGCAGAACGGGGGGCCGAAGCCGTCCCCGAACGGGAGGCTTGCCAAAGGACTCAACGGAAGGGGCAAAGGCGGAGGCGACTCAGATGGCGACCAAAAGGGGCCTGTAGTGGAGCACTCAAGGCCCGCCAAGGCGAATGGGGATAACAACAAGGCCCCAAAAGCGGCCACCGCAGGGCCGGAAGAGTCTCCGCAAGTGCCCGGCGAGCCCCCCCTGCCGAGCTTCAACCTGCTAATGCTTACAAAGAGCCTTTCCCCTGACGCGAGCGCGGAGGACAGCTTCCACGCGCTGCTGGCCCAGCTGTGGGCGGCCAGCCTGGAGGACGGGCCGGCGCTCGCGCTGCGCATCCCCCCCGTCGACACGGCGGGGCTGGTCCGGCAGCCGATCCGGCGCTTTGCGGCCCTGACTCCGTACGTGAACAACTTCCGGGTGTGGGTGCTACTGGAGGCGTGGGAGACCATCCGGGTGGAGTACGCGCACGCCAAAAAGGGGACCGCCAGTGAGTTGGCCTGGCTCAGTGGTTGCTCTATTTTCTGCGTTCTGTGCGCCTGGTCGAGGGTTCGTTATGTCCAGGTTGAGCTTTTGCCATGCTTTGCTGGTGTGGGGAGTGCTGCATCCATCGGTTTCCCCTCACCGTCACTGTGGTCGTCGGTCTGTCATTTGGTTCGGTCTAGCTTCCCCTGCTCTACTCTTGGTTCCTGAGCACCAAAGTAAGAGGACTTAGCAATCAACATAAGTGCCATATCGTTTGTCGAGGCTTTGAGCTCTTAAGCTTGTCGTTTCTGTAGTTTCTCGCTTGTTCCCCGTGCTTTTTATTACCTTCTTCGCTCTCGGATTCCCTGAAAGGCTCGGCTGTCCCTTGTCTTGAGATCATGGCGTCACATATAGCACCAGGAGAGACGGCTGCATTGGCTACTCAAAGGTCATTTACAATCCTCATCGCTCCTGTGCAGACCCGCTGAAGGCGCCCAGTTCCTCGTCCCTGCTGGACGTGTCCGGCGTGAGCCAGCCGGGCGACGGCTTCTCGTACCTGGAGCTCACTTCCCGCCTGCACGACAGCAGCAACCTGCCCGAGAAAGACGAGGTCGTGTTACTGGAGGAGGTCCGGTTCGTGGACGACTCCCAGCCCGGCTTTCAAGGCGCGGCGGGGCACTGGGAGCGGGGGGGCAAGACGGTGCTGGCGTTTGCCCACTATGGCTTGCGGAAGGGCACGCTCAAGGTGCGGGGCGCGTACAGGCCGGCAACCAAGGTGAGCGGTTCGGAGTTCTTTGTGTGCATTTTTGAACGCCGCTGCATGAGGCCCCACTTAGCTCTGCGCTGGTTCTTGTCACAGCTGGAGCCCGTAGGTAGCGTTCAATGGGGGCTCGAAGTTGTTGGACTTCTTCGCACCAGACCTTACGAAAAGAATAGCACGGCTGGTCCCGGCAGTGAACGTAACAGATCGGTTTTGCTGCAGCCCGATGGAGCAACCAAGATCAATGAAAATCATTTGAAGTGCCGAAAAGTCCTACCTGGGTTGCTTCTGGACCTGTCTTAGAGGCCGTTTGAGGATTATCGTCCGCGTTCATGGTGGCAGCCATGTCATGACCAATGGCGCATCCTGGTTGAATGGACGGGCTCAAAGATCTCTCCCAGTTGGCGTTCAAGCTGGAAAGTACTTCTCTTGATCTGGACCAAGCTGTTTCTCGTTCTTAACACCAAGCTCTGACTTTTGGACGATCCTTTTCCCCTTTCTGTCTTTCCATGAAGTTTGCCGACTGTATCCTCTGCTTCCGCTCTTGGTCCCCGTCTAGCCGAGGCGTTCGTCATAAAGACCGAAACGAGCACCCAATCACCCTTGACCCTCACTGACTCGGCTCAAATCTTCCCCTACCCAGGCGGTGTGCGTGCTGCGCGTGTGTTCCCTGACCACCCTGGCCCGCTCCTGGACTGCGCTCTACGAGATGGGCGCCAAAGCCTACTACCCGCTCATTCTGGACCCCCAGCGATGGGCCCCTGGCGCGCACGGCGCAAGCCTGGCCCCCGAGCAGAGAGCCCAGCACCAGCCGCGCGTGACGGACGACTTTTTCTGGTCGCGCCGGGACGGCCCCATCTGGCTGCACTTTTTGCGGACGTGGCACGAGAAGGGCCTCGTCAACGACGACCAGGTCGAGGCCATGGCCGTCGGGCTGCTGCCGCAGGAGCGGCTCACGCTCATACAGGGCCCCCCGGGCACTGGCAAGGTGAGCGTTGAAACACACTTTGAACGGCACATAACAAGGTGCAGGAATACTGCAACTGGGTCGGAGAAAGGGCTGATGGGCTGTTGTGGTATCAACTTAGGCTGCTACTTGAGATCATGCGGTTCAGAGTGCGCAGGGGAAACACCTTTCTCTTTTTCACTGCTTCCGCAAAAGTGCATTGGCGAATCGCTGCTGCACCTTGTCTGGCTGACCTGTTCGTGCCCTCCTCCTTACCGTAAAATATTTACTGACATGCTTTTTTTCTTGTCCTCCTTCCTCGCCGGTCTCCAGACGTCCACGATTGTCGGTGAGCATGCTACCCACTTTACTTTACATCCCTGTCCTTGCCACTCGCTTTGTCTCACTACAGGTTTGCTTACAGTAACCGCTGCCTGTTGTCTTCCTTCGGCACCAGAATGCCACCTCAATACACCAACTGAAGCTTCTGCCCACGTCAGAATTGTCCTCGTTGCTCTGCAGCTGAACACCACGTTTTGGTAACATAGGGTGGTGTGGTGCATCCTTCCTGCCTCCGTCCAGGCTGCCATTCATCCCAGTCTTTGCTGTTTGTGTCCAGCCCTGGTGTCGGCCATTCTGGTGGCCACCCCGACTGCGCGCATCCTGCTGTGCGCGCCCTCCAACGGCGCAGTCGACGAGTGCACGCGCCGGCTGCTGGGGGGCAACATGATCGACAAGGAGGGCAAACGGTGAGACAGCCGTTCGAACTTGAAGCAGTGGCTTAGAAGCACCCTTCTGTCCTCTTGAACAGCCAAAAAATGCTTCCAAACACCGCCCCATATTATGGTCCTGGGGAAGAAATTATAACGGCTGGAATCCTGCACGAGGGTCACGTTATCAAACTTCTGCTTGATTCTGGATCCAGAGGGTTCCGTCGCGCTTGCTGCTCCATAATATTCTATCATTGTCAAAAGAGTCAGGTTTTGTTAGTTGCAGCTTGCGCCCCTGACTTTCTCCGGGGCTGACAGGACTGCAGCGGATCCAGCCCAAAGCGTTTGACGGCTCCTTTTCGTGACTTGTACTGATGCTTCTCCTCGCAGGTACGCCCCCGAGCTGCACCACATTCTGCGCGTGGGGCCCCCCGCCCAGGTGCACCCCGCGTGCCAGAAGGTGACCATGGACGCGCAGATGGACACGCGGCGCGGCAGCGCCAACTACCGCGACATGGGGCCCCGTGCGGCAGAGGAGCAGATGCACGCCGACATGCTGACGTGCGCCAAGGTGGTGTGCGCCACGCTCAGCGGCAGCGGCATGGACCTGCTCACCGCCAAGATGCGCCCCTTCACAGTCGTCATCGTCGACGAGGCGGCGCAGGTACGTGCCTCGGATGCGGCCCCTCACTTTTGTCTTTTCTATCTGGCGCTCGTGAGGATTTCTGACGTTTGGTTTTCCAAATGTTTGCACTTGAGATACCGTCTGCTGGTGAACGGTACGAGCAGCTACATGCTGCAGGTGCGGGACATCGATGGCCTCACGACGAAGTGTCGCGATTCAAGCACAGGCTGTCAGTACCTATGCCAAGTCTTCAACCCGCCGGGTTCAGGCACACAGCTCTGTGTTGACGTCCTCATTTGACAAACATACAAGTAGCGGCAAGTAAGAGGGCTACTTTCAGAGATATTGGAGCCCAGTTTATCTAACAATCCATGCGCGCTCACTGCTCCAGGTTGTCTCGACACGCTGCTCTAGCCGTCCTGCGGAACGCTTCTTTGAGCAGATAATGCTGTCATTGTTGCACCGTTGCGATGTCAGGTCTTACAACGACTCTCCTTCTCGTGTACAGGCGGTGGAGCCGGAGGCGCTGATTGCTTTGAACCGGCTGGCGGACGGCGGACGCATGATCCTGGTCGGGGATCCCTGCCAGCTGCCTGCTACCGTGATACAGCACCCCCGTGAGTCACGCTGTGTGTGGCCATACTTAAGATTGACTATTGAATGTTGTTATCAGGTCGGGGCTAGTGGATAATGCTGACACCTCTCATATGCCTCGAATGTGCAAGGATATTGAAAGTACTGAAATTTCCCGGCTTTAGAGGACTCAAATCCTGTTGGCAGTTGGCTCTGACATCTCAGAACGCACGCGGCTGAACACAGGGTCGCTTATCTCAAAGTAGTGTGTGGCGCAGCACATTCAAGCTTAATTCCGTGCATAAGCCGTCAAACTGCCTTCGTTCTTCAGCCAGGAGAGGACGGTGAAGGAACTTAGTCTCGTGAACCAAAACTTTCCTCGATAGGCGCGGCCAGTCTCCTGGTCGACAGGATCGTAGGAGCACTCCTCTTTTGACCAGAACGGCTTTCAGCGACCAAAAATCTGCATTCTTGTCCTCCATGACACCCCGCTCCTTTGCGCAGAGGCCCCGTACGAGGTCAGCCTCTTTGAGCGGCTGCAGGCGGCCGGCTCGCGGTGCACTCTGCTGACCACGCAGTACCGCATGCACCCCGCCATCCGCACCTTCCCCAACGACCACTTCTATGCGGGAAGGCTCCAAGACGCTGACCCCGTAATCGCCCGGCCCCTCGTTGTTGGGGACAGCATGAGCCCGGATTGTACCCCCCGGGACCTGCTTCGAGTCTACTCGGGCGACGTCCAGTTCAACCTCAGTCCGTACCGCTTTCTGGACGTCCGGTGGAGCTCCGAGCAGAACGGCGGCGGGGGCTCGACCCAGAATAACCTCGAAGCGTCGGTGGTTGCCGCGGTGGTTAGCGGGCTGGTCAAGGGGCTAACCGCGGGCGTGCCCGTGCGTGGCGAAGGCGGGCTGATCGAGATGCGGCGCTTTAACCCGGGAGACGCGACCCGGGGCAGTGGGGCGCCATTTTCGGTGGGGGTGATCACGCCTTACTCTGCGCAGAAGCAGCTGATCTGCGCCCGGCTGTCCCGGAAGGGGGTGCCCCGAGAGGCGTACGAAGTGAACACGGTGGACGGGTTTCAGGGCCGCGAAATGGACGCGATTGTGCTGTCGACCGTGCGGGCGGCTCGTGGGGGTACGTCGGGCCCGGGGGGCACGATCGGGTTCGTGTCGGACCGGCGGCGTATGAACGTGGCGCTGACGCGCGCGCGGCACTGCCTGCTGATCGTGGGCGACTCGCAGACGCTGGCGGCGCGCAGCGACGACTGGCGGGCGTTGATCGAGGATGCCAAGGCGCGGAAGTGCTTTGAGGAGATTGAGAAGGACGGGAAGAGCCCGCGGAAAGGGGGGGTGCCGGGACAGGGCCTGGGGGGAGGGGATCGGTCCGGTGGTAAAGAGAAGGACGGCGGGGCTGGTGTGAAACGCAAGTTGGATCTGAGTGGTGGAGACCCGGATGCGGGCGCCCAAGGAGGAGGGAAGAGGAGGAGACTTGGGGGCAAAGGAAATGAAGGTGGTTCAGGGACTAATGCCGCAGACAGCGAGGAGGTGGGCAATAATTGGGGCGAGAAGACGCTGGGTAGGACGGGGCCAGAAGGCACCAGTGACTCCCCAGAAGCTCCAAGGAAGAAGGAGAAGAAAAAGTCAGTGAAGGAACAGAAAAGAGGCGTTACGGGTGGGGAAGACGGCAGTGTTGCAGCGAAACGAGGGGGCGAAGCGGAGACGCAGGCTAGGCAGGGGCGCAAAAAAGAGAGGGGGGGCGACGGGGCAGATAAGCTGACGGGCAAGCAGACCGCGGGTGAAGACGTTAAGCCGGGAGAAAGTAAGATGGCGACAGTGGGGATGAAGAAGACCAAGGAGAAGAAGCAGGCCGGGTTGGGTCACCCAGCCGAAGTCGAGGATGAAAAGCCGAAGGGAAAAGGTGCGAAGGAAGTGGCCTTAGAGGGGGGACGCTCCCCTGCGCCAGCTGCCGAGTCGAAGAAAGGCGAGGACGCAGAAACGGCGACCGCCAGAAGTGAGAAGAAGCGGACGAAGAAGGCGAGTGGGGAGACTGCCGGAAAAGCGGACGAGCCTATACCGTCTGGGGAACCGGTGAAGGCCGGCGTGGAAATAGCGCCTGCTGCTGCAAAGGAGGCAGTGCCGACGGCTTCGTCGCATGCTAACAGGCCCTTGACTCCGAAGTCAGACACTGCCGACAAAAGCGGCAAGAAAAGGAAACGCGACCGAGAAGGGGTGGGGTTGCTTAATGGGGACGGGTCGTTATGCGGCGGTGCTGAAGAGAACGGAAAGCAGGAAGGGGAGGCTGCAGACGTTGTGGCTGAAGAGCGTTCGAAGAAGCGTCCGAGAAAGAAGAAGGAGCGGCCTACTTCCGAACGCCCTGCGGAAGGCTTGCAGGAATGGCCCGCTGGCAAGGGAGGGGGCGGCGAGGACGGCCGGAAGAAACAAGAGGGAAAGGAACAGGCGAGTACGGGCACAACGCCGAACAGAAAAAAGGGGGAAACCGGACTGACGGAGGCTTCCGACTTGCTGACGGACCAGGGTGAGGATGCGGCCCATTCTGCCGCGGGGGGGAAGAACGACGGGGGCAGTAGACCCCCCGGAAGTGCGCTTGTTTCCGGAGGCCCAAGGGGCGGTGTCGCGCGGAAAAGAGGGCCTCAGCCGCGGCCGATTCTGAAACGTAAATCCTTGGTGAGCAAGAAGGGGTGGAAGGTCGGGAAGAAGGTGCGGCTCGCCAAGCACGTCCACTTCCAGGATCCGAAGCATCTGGTGCAGGTGCGGTACATACCGCGACTGACGAAGGAGGTGGAAAAAGGCGGAAAGGAGGGACCGGGGAAGCCGGCAGGACGGAAAAGGGAGCTGACGTTCCAGACATTTGTCGACTTGAAGAAGAAGGCACGGGAGCGGTGGGTCGGAAAGGCCGCGCCGGCCGATGGGCGCCTGTTGAAAGCCGGGCAGAACAGATCCGCGGCCAAAAAAGTAGAAGGGGACTTGCAGGCATATGCGGAGGGGTCAGCAGCGAACGTGGCGGGCAGAGATCCGGAGCGAGACGTGTTGAAGAAAGGAGGCTTAGGATATGCAGTTAGGAACGGAGTAAATGCAAGAGGAACCCGCAAGGGAGCTTTGCCGTTGGTGGCAGTCTCACCCAAGAAGCACTAGGCTCGGAAGATGCAGGTAGGGATCAGCTAGGGATTAGAGCTTGCTGCGTAATCAGGGCACATGCAACTCCTCCATGCAGTAGTGATAGTCGATCCTTATTAGTGCAAAGCTTTAGTTGATTGTATTCTGCTCTGATCCGTCAGTTAAAACGTCGATTTATGCCGTTAATGTGCTGGTTGCAAGGATTGCAAGTGGTTGTAACAGCTTTCACTGAAAGCAGTCTGCAAAAATGTTGTCGGGCTTGACTAAACTCGCGCATGGGAGGGCAATACGTGCCATCTGCACTTCCTAGGTCCAGTCCGATCCACATGCTAAGTACGTGACGGGCGAAGCAGTTGTGTTACACCGTGAGCCTGCGCTGGAATGGAGTTAAATATGCACATGGCCATGCATGGCGTTGCGGCAGCTGCGTCCCCGATATGTGCAGGAGGTCACGCCGTCGACTCGGCTTGCAGTATACATTGCTCACGTCGGCTATAATTGAACAAGGACTCAATCTACCCACTTTGAATCTTTGAGTGAGTAGAAGCCAGCTGCCGGACATAGGTTCGGCTGACTCGCAAACATACATGCTGCAGCGCGGTCTGACTCTCTCATGCGTCTGACTCTCTCATGCACGATTTGTACAATAAGTAGCTCCCCGCCGGTACACGTTGCATACGTACCAGCATATGCCAGCTAGTCCAGTCGCCGTCGTGGATCATGAGAATGGGGTTCGGGCCGCGCCCTATATACGTGCTTTGGCACCTGATCCAGGCCGGGCTAAGTTTAGCCGGTGGTCATGGCAGTAGATTGTAGAGTAACTCTTAGATGTCTCAGCTTAAATGATGGCCCTGGCCGCTCTCAGAGCATACTCACTGAGTCAACCTAGTGCTTCTAATGTAGCAAGCGGGAAGTGGATTGAAACACCATGCGCAGATGCATGTGCAATGCATGTGTAGCCCAGTTACATACAGCTGGAGTAAGCTTCAAGAGTAACCGTCTTGCAACGCGAACAACTTTGTATATGAATTTCACGTATGGAACGGAAACTTTGTACGTGAGTTTGGAGTATTAACACTTTCACATAAAGACCCCACATTTCAAGGAAAATGCGGATCCCTCTTATCGGCCAATTCTCCGTTGTTGTGGGCTATGACGAGCTCGAACAGCTGCCTTGAGTATCTAAAACACCAGGTTCTGCACTTCTCCACTCCCCCACGCTCATACTTCTCCAGCTGCTCGGCACTTCTCACGACAGGTCCAGACGGGTCATCGCCAGTCAGAAAGGCGGCCACAAGGGAAGCCCTGCAAACGAAGCCGCACAAACGTCACGACAGGTTTGACGGGAGCAGCTGAAACAGCATGAGAAATGGGAAGTGGCATGGCACCGCTGCCATGACTGCTGATGTATTTCTAGGAAGCGTCGTAGGTCAACGGTCCAATTTTGGTTCTTAGCTTACAGTCGCCGCAATTACACAGGCTCGAAAAGCCTGAAGGCGTCCACAAAAAAGTCTCTACGACTTGCCGCCGGACATCAGCTATCTACAATCTTCATCTTCATGAACCGGAAGCATTGTTAAGACCTTCAAGCAGCGACTGCGAATCATCCAAAGTTGGACAACACAACGTTGGCGAAGCTCTGCAACCGTCAACCGTCAACCGGGACGACAGGCGAGAGGCTCACCGTTCAGCGTCGATCTGCGAGAAGCCCTCGTTGTTCTTGTGACGCGCTTGCCGCAGCGCCTGTTCGTCACGGGTTTGCCGCCGGTAGAGGGCACACAGCCCCTTCATGCACAGCACGTCATCCTTGCCCATTGCCGCTGTCATGTCCCCCTCGGTTACCCAGTCCCCTGGGTGCTCCCGCTGGGGCTTCAACCCCAGCGCCCGCATCAAGGAGAAACCTCCTCCGTCCTCCTCAGAGTCCTCCATCATAGGCCCAGGCCCGCCTTCCCCTCCTCCTTCATCTTCCCCCTCCTCTTCGTTTTCTGACTCGGATCCCCCAACGTCGCTTCCGTCCCCGTCTCTTACGACCCTGTCGTCTGAAATGCTGTCCCGACTTGGGAGGCCGCTCCCCTCACTGTCTTCAATCCCGTCTGACTCCGTTCCTGACTCCGCTCCCCGCTTCCTCTTACCCCGCAATCGTCGACTTCTCCTTGGTGCCGCTTCTTGATGCTCTTCTTCCGCAGCGTCCCCCCTCTGCAAAGCCGCTCGTTTCCTGAGCGCCCTCTGCAGCATTGACTCCCCCCCGTTCTGCTTCTGTGCATCCTCCACCCGCTTTGAACCCCCAACTTTCCGCAAACGTCCGTGTTCGTGTTCATTTTGTCCCCCCTCCCCCTCACTGACCTGCTCTCTCAGTTTCCGCTGCTGCCTTTGCCCCAGCGTCTCGTCATCATCGCTCTCCTCTTCTGATGCAAACATCTCCTCTCTCACGGTGGTCCCCGCCGCCTCCTTCTCCTGTGCTAGCCGCTTTGCGGGGGCTCCCTCCAAATCCGAGTCATCCTCCACAACGTTTCTGCCCCTCTTCCTGCCCCTGGTGTGAATAACAGCCTCAGGCTCCTCATCATCAGTTCCTTCCATTTCACCTTTTCCCCCATGCGCATCCGTCTGCCCTTGGTTGCCAGTATCTGCATTTCCAAATGACAGCGCCCGTCTCACAGACTGCACTCCTTCCCTCGCCCCAGCAGTGCCGCCCTCCTGTCCCCGGGCATGCTGACCGCATTCTTCGATCGGCCCCCAAGCAACAATCACTTCCTCCTCCCTTTCTGCCTCAGCCAGCAGCACCCCCACCCTCTGCCAAGCAGCTGCCGCCCCGCTCTCCTGTGTTTCAGACACTGGCTCCAGGTTAACGCTTACAGGAGAGGACGGTCTTGCCATGCCTGCTTCTTCTTCCTGACCAAGAATCATTTGTTCATGCCCATTCAGGAGACCCCCAACTGTGACTGTCCTGATGGCCTGCCCGTCCTTTTCGGCGTTTACAGCTGCTACATCAGGTCTGACGAAGTTGTGCTCCCTACCAGCTTCAGGAGCATCTGGGCTAGAGAAGACGGGGGCCTCCAGAACTTTCCTGGGAGAACGCGGTATGACCTCCTCATTCTTCTCTGGTGTAACTGGCGCCAGATTCTTGTGCCCAGGGACCACCTTTGACACCAGATCCTGGTCTTGGCCAGAATTTAGCAGTGCATCCCTCCCAACAGCGTCAACATTGCCACCATCGACCGTCCTGTGCTCTTCCACCTTCCGCTTGAAAGCCCGCAGCTCTGCTAGCTCCTGGTCTCTCTCCTCTACTTGCTGCTTCAGCACTTGAATCACTACAATCTTCGCCGCCAGCTCTGTCTTCGCTTGCATCAGTGAGGCCGCCAGCCCCGACGCCTCGCTGTCCCGCTCCAGCATCTGCGTCTGCCACTCGTCCCTCTCCCTCGCATGCGCGACCCTCTCCTCTTCCAATTGCGCCCCTGGCTCCGTTGCCCTGACGAAGACCTCCCTTTCAGACTCCCCTACCTGCGTCATGGCTCGATTGTCCTTGGAACCACCTCTGGCGTCTCCTGGAGGGGCTGGACCAGCGCCAGCATTGCCTTTTGCGTTTTCCTCTCCTTCCTCCCGGGTCATCACTTCCTCTTGGCCCTCTATTGACGCATTATGCAGCTTTGCGGTCTGACCTTCCCGTAACCGCCCACCAGCTTCTTCTGTAGAGAGCTCCTTTTCTGGACCATCCCCTCCCGTTTCTGCAGCTGCTGCAGCACCTTGATTTTCGGGAGAGACTCTCAAAGTTTCTCCGTTTTGGTGACCCTCAAAGCCTGCTGCAGCTAGACCCAGCTCCCGCTCTGCGTACTGTGAGCATTCTTGCTTGTGAAAGGGCAACCTTGCAGCATGCAGCGACTTCCCGCACCCTGGACAATCCAGGAAGGACGAGCCCCCGGGCCCGCGGACAGGCCGCGTAGCAGTCCACCCTAGCTGAGGCCGCTTCTTGCCAAGACCTGAAGGGCTCCGGGCTGCCGCCATGATGCTGCCAGGCTGCCAACAAAGGTTCCTGTACACTGTCAACAGTCCCTCAGTTTTATACCTATGGACCAGTAGTAGTAGGTATGGTAGCTCTGCCTGGTGATCTGTGCAAGACATGACGCGTGAGCTGGTTATGCTCCGGGTTACGATATAACCCTCCAAAAGCGCCCAGCAGTACACTGCACAGTTTCTGGTTTGGGTCCGGTTAGATATTCACATCAAGGGGTTCGGTTCAGAACACGATCGGACGGTCGAGACCGTGCATGAAGAAGTCCCCGAGTTGTGCCCATATGCTCGACAGAATGTTTGAAGAGGAAAGCTCCGTGCTTTGCATAAGCCACATTTCAGTTGTGAACAGCAGGCCCACTGGCTTTGAGAGAGGGGCGGCCAATTGCCGCCGTTGGCGGGGAGAGATGCATGGCGGCACTGTTTCTATGTTTCAACCCACTCCAGTTAGACAAAGTAAGACTTTGCAGACGTGCCTGCAATCTCTGGCTAGCAAAACAAGTTGAACCTGGAAAGCTGATAAGGTGCACAATGGAGGCGCCCGCGTTGCTGTCAGCCCAGGCACCTCCGTTTCAAAGAAAACTCCGAGAGGGATTGGGAAGAAGCAGACGACCCGTCCGTCGGTCTGCCGAGGCTAGTAGACGGAGAAGCTCCAGTGACTCCAGAGTTAAGAAGAAAGAGGAGACGGGCCCACCTAGCGAGTCCCTTACTTTCCAACGAGAAGAAGGAGTCTGACGGCAGGTTGCGTGGGGGTACTCGAGAGTTAGATGGCTTTTATGAGGCGATTGGCGGGGAAAGGGCAGATGGGGATGATCCATCGGCTGTCTCCACAAGCGGGAGGTTTGATGAGAGGATCAAGGAGGTCGTGAGGGCGGTTATAGCTCCTTATGAAAGCAAAGTGGAAATTTTGTCAAGGGAGGTGCTTCGGCTTCGAGAGAGAGTTGATCACATCAGCATTAGGGCCCTATTAGATGATGCTCGAGCAAAGGTCCTTTGGCTCCTTAATCTCCGCCGTTAAGACGAAAAAGTTGTCCTCAGACACAAGAACGAACTGAACAATATGGGTTTAGCAGACGAGCACATAAGATTTCTGCTGAGCGCGAAGAAGGGGGACAACGTCCTAAGGAGCCGTGCAAACAGAGCTGCCCACGATTTCCCCTGGACAGACATTGCCTCTGTTGTCAACCGTTCCGATGAGGGGCGTGCGACCGCAGCTTGCACACATCTTCAAGTTTTGCTACGTCGGCCGTGCCTGGTACCACACCAACTCAGTCCGCCTTGACAAGGCGCCAGGCGAGTTGTGGTCGATGAGACTGGGCCGGTGGGTGCGGTGGGGGAGCGTCTGAGGCCAGGATAGGTGCGGTTCGTTCTGAGACCAGTGAATGCACAAGCTTTTCGAAGAGTGGGAAAGATAATCTCTCATTACTGTCTGCGAAGACTTGTAATTATGCTTTTAAAATGCTCGATATATTAAGGCTATCAATGTGGATCAGCCAGCACAAGTCGAAGCTGCTCAATCTTCCGTTACATCCTCCCTGTCAGCGAGCTGACTCTACTTGGTCCTGGCTTGCTCTCTTGCTCCGTCAACAGACTCTGGACGTTCCTATCCAGATTCATTTTGTCCCGCGGACGAGAACGGGGCACTCTTTTCTTTCTTACAGGCATCTTACGCATTCAAGTCGGCCATCTTCCTGAACGGCCGCTGCTGCTTCCTCTAATTCAACTTCCAATACAACCAGAACAGACGAGACCCACAAAGTTTTCAACCCAGAATATCAATCGGTATTTCCACTCTGCAGGAGACTGCAGCAACGGCAAGATTTTGCGGCCGCGCACATTTGAGGCCCTTCTCGCCGTTTGCTTCAGCGTGGGTGCTCCATCATCTTGCTTTCCGTCTCCTCGGGCGCGCAGCAACGGGGAAGCAACGGGGAGGTGGGTCACTTGCTGACAGAATCGGACGTACCCTCCCGTCTCAACCGTGCGGCGACGGCTGAAGTTGTAAATCTCCTCGACCTGCAAGAGCGGTTGCTATTCACATATTCAAAGATCTCCGGCCCGACCGATGACATGCTCTAGTAACGGACAGATGGTTCTCGCAGTGGAAGTTCAGGCATATTGAAACCGGTTGTCAATGTCTTCGGCTGCCCTAAACTTCTGAACTTTGGGAGTTTCGAGTTTGAATTCTAGAAATTCTACATTAAAGCCATGATGATTTATGAAGAGGCACGACTTTCTGGTCCACGCTTGTTCGGAGATACCGTCTGGCCATGGCAGCCCGTATTGGGCGAAGTCTCCGCGTTGGAAGCTTTGATCGTTAGGCGGGTCGAATTTAATTTCCGGGTTCCGGTCCTACCCCCTTTTGGGTGGGTCGGTCGGTCGGGAAGAAATAATAGTTGGTTTTTTGCTAGTATGTTTGAAATATGAAATGATATGGAATATTTTTGGGGCAAGAACTTCATTCTTGGCCCAGATTTCATTATTTTCAATCCAAAATGACCCAATATCGGGATATCTGGGCCAAAATACTGACTATATTTATTATTTTCCCCCAAAATCCTTCGGATTTTGGATCGGTCGGGGACCGGAAACCGGGATTTAACTTCGAGTCGCCTTATCCACAGTTTACTTTCCCTCGTGTGTGAGCATCTCTTAACCCTGTCAGGGGCCGTAGGAATCATGCTGTACGCTGAAGTCGGGGCTCGCGAGATTCTTACGATTCACGCTGTTTCGCGTGTGAGCACCCATCAGATGGTGTCAGAATCATTCTGCAGGGATATTCGGGCTGATTGGGCGTAATAGCTTTGTGCAGGTTGTGGCTCGGCGTGCTGCGCACCAGCTCGGCTTCTCCCGCAGAATCAGCCAAAGACTCTGTGGCATACGACCGGGAAAAGGACTGGGGGCGGTGTTTCGAAAAGCATCTGAAAGATTCAGTCGAATTCTGACTCGGACGATGAGTAGGCGTCAAGCTGCCTGATTTGCAGAGGACTATCCTCAAAGCACTGCTTGCAACCCAACACAGTGTCAACAGCGAGGATCCTTCTTCTACGTAAAGCACTCTGACGGGCTACTTCAGTGAAATTTGTTCCGTACTTAGTACTGAATCCTGAGCTAAACTGTCCCGATTGCAACAGAATGATTCACAAGCTCCAACTCGATGCTCTGAAGGTCTCCGTATGATAACCTGACTTCCCCAGGTCCGCTTTGTGACTCGAACACCCTCGTATCGACGCTGGGTCCGATTAGAGAATGTGAACCCGAACAAGCGTCACTGGGCGGCATGATTGCAGAGCTCCAGAGCTTGAGACAAGGACGTTTTAACAATTCATGCAATTTGTTGCAGAAAAGGATATCTGTGGCTGCTTATAATTATTCGATTGTCCAATTAGTACTGACGTTATTCAGTTGTCCGATTAGTACTGACGATCTAAGAAGTAGCGGACGGTCTCAATTCTCGATCGTATTTTCAGGCTTTAATTCGACACGTACCCACCATCAGCATGTGCGATGTAAACAGAGATCATGCATGATCCACGGCCGGCGTGCGTGCCGCCGGCCACACGTACGCCCAGGTATAACCTGCCATGAGTATTAGGCAACTATTGATCAGGATCGTACTAGCTTATAACCAAGAATCTGAAAGCTGCGTGGCCACAGCCGCGCTCAGACATGTGAGCTTCAAGGGTAAATTCGTTGTCCATGCATACCTTCAGCTAGAGTATGGATTACTGCATGCGCCGGGTGCGTCGTACTAATTCTTCGTCAAATACAATCAAGTATTGTCTCCACATGGAATTTGCACGATCCACATGTACTAACGTTGGAACACAATTCAGGGTTGAGACAGATAGAGCTCGTATGCAGAGATACCGACCCATTAAATATCAACCGCAACTCCTCACAAGGGGAGCTGCAAGCTGCAAATGTGACCCAAGTTCTACTCAAGTACTACAAACTAAATGCACACTGATGAAGCGGACTCGATTACAAGAGAAGCCATACTACATAGACGGCGATTGAAGGCATGATTGCCAGTAAAGATAATACTTTCATGCAGAAAATGTCCCATCGCGCCAATGAAGTCAATGTCCCCAAACTACAATCACGACATGGCACCATCCTTGGTCTTATTGTTCGTGCAGGACTACCTTGCCCGTACTCAAGCCAGATCCTGATTATGTACTGTTGACATGTTCAAAGCGAACTGGGCTCAAAGAAGTTGGCAGATCGGGTAATATCCTCCGCCCCAAGGAGGTGCCCCGTTTCTTAACGACCTGAAACGTTTCGAACTTATTTGCTAACTCCATAAGACAAGGCCGCTGGTGCTTCCCAAGTTCAATCGCCTAGTAAGGGACGTTTCGGGGCAGGTTGTTATTTACGTTCGCCTTCATCATCACCCGGGTCCGTTGCTGCTCCAGCCGCCGCGCCTGCTTGACACCCTGGTCTGTGGCCGATGTCCACTGGTGCTGCTTTGTGGCCAGCCCCAGAGCACGGTACCTGGAAAACAAATAAGAAGCCGTATTTGCAAAGCTCTCGTGAAAACACGGCAAAGCTTTCAATGCATAAGAAACTGAGGCCAGAGAAATTTGTGACACTGAGGCAAAGAAGCAGAAACTGTAGATCTCAATACTTACAGCTTTGCATAGCCCCAACAACAGGAACCATTATGAGCACAGTCTGACCGCATACGCCTTAGAGCGTGCTTTGCGAGCTTCCTAGAGCCAGTTGAACAACTCCCAGCGCAGGGCTGGTTCCAGTCCTTTACGTCAGCTTGGTCGTGCCCTTCCAAGGAAAGGCAAAAAACAGTGCAGGCCTCACCTTCCGACGACCTGGTTTACAAGCGCCACCTCGCGCCGCTCATTAGGCCGGTGCCGCTGCTTGTAGTAGCGCGCAAACTCCCGCGATCCAATTACCTTGGACGACTCCCCCGAAGAATCCGTGATGATGAGCTCGGTTCCAGTCTCCGACAGCGCGAGACCCGGCTCAGCGCCGTTCGCAGAGACAAGCTGCATGTGGTCGGCATCCGCGTAACTGCAAAGAAAGAAAAGAAACGGCTCGGTTTGTCCAATTTCTTCTGAAGTGTTCTGCTTCCGAACAGACTCACCATGTATGTTAGCTCTGATCAAGAACTAGACAGAACACCGACCCGACTGCAAAATGGAATTCTATTTCAGCGTCTTACAGAACCTCGATTCAATGAAAAGTGCATACGCAACAGAGGATCCGAACCCTGATTTTTAACGGAAAAACGGAGGATATTCGAGCGATAGCAGCTACTAGAATATCCTCCCCCTTGGAAGTTTTGCATGTAGGGTTTTGTATGGGGTTAAGGGTTTTCCGTTTTCGAAGCAGGGAACTTGCTGAGCTTAGTAGGGGAATAGTCTACCAATTTTGGAACATGTCACGTCGATAAGATAGGCAAACATCCAGGGCAAGAAGGTCCAAGAATGATTCAAAAAGCCGATCGCACATGACAGGGCTGCCCACCTGGAGGAGAAGTCATAGAAGGCTGCCAGCTCCTCGTCAGGCCCGTCTTCGTACGGCAACTTGCAGTGGCTCTTATCGGCCATGTGCTTCCGCGCGGCCTCCATGCTGCTGAAGTGACGCCCGCTCGTGTCACACAGCAGGCACATGTGAGCTACCGACACCTGCAGTGAAATGGGCTTGATCAGTGAAGGATCGCCCGACTAAGGACCATGCAAATCAGATGATAATGAGAGTGTGTACTTTAGTAAACAGGGTTGGATTGCCCATGACTTTGAAAGGTGAAGGAAGCCAACCTACCAATCTCAAGGAACTCAGGCACCAGGTAGAGAAGAAGACACGAACACACGCCAGCATCAGACAGCAATATAAAAGGTGGCCTATTTTAGAGCGACTCAATCTAAATCCAGGGAGGCAACCAGCCAAAAGAAAGACCTTTCTGTTGGACATAAGTTAGAAAGAGGTTGTCCCCTGCCGTAAGGGATCGCCATACAGACTGCTGTACAACGATGCCAGCCCCCTCACCTTGAACCCCAGATACTGCAGCATGCCCGTGAGGTCCTTGACATACTCCACGTCCGGTATGAAGAACCCATGGGCCGAGTGCATGTGCGCCACACATGCCTCCACGTCCCCCTTGTGATCCTTCCCGCAGAACAGGCACTGCGTTGGGTCCCACTCAGGCCCGTCCTCTTCCATAGACGTGCTCTCCTCGCCCCTCCGCTCATGCGCCGCCCCTGCAGCCTCCTCTTCTACTTCGTCCCCATCAACCTCCTCCCAGTCGCTATCCTCACTTTCCTCTTCCTTTTCTAATTCTTTGCCTCGCTGCGCCCCATTCTCTACCGGTGCGCGCACAGGCGCAGGCCGGATCTTTGCCTCAGGTGCTGCAGAACCCTCGGGCGCCGCAGCCGCTCTTTTGAGGTGTTGTTTTGTGAGCAGGTGCTGCTTGTACGCCTGCTCGCTCGAGTACTGCTTTCCACATAGCGTGCATGTGTACAGAAGCCGCTCTGCAGTGGTCGCCTCTGCTGCGAGCGCCTCCCGCCGCTTCTCAAACCACGCATCAGTAACGCCGGGGAGACCGGCAACCTGGAGGAGAAGGGTGGTGGTGTAAGAGCCTAAAAACTTAGGGAGCCCCAAGACGCACTACTTTGAATTGCCAGGCAGCCAAAGATAGGGAGAAATTCCAGCGGGGAAAGAGACCAACAATGGCATGCAGACTCGGACACAGCCGAAGCAGAGGTCTTGAAGCCCTTCCGAAGCGCGTGAGAGGATTGACTCTTTGACGCGCTAGGTTTGACCGCTTGACCACAACCCAAATTGAGCACAAGGTGTCAGAACCCTTGATCTCAGTGAAGCACTGGTGTCACGACGTCAAGCAGCTAAAGCTGGTGGTGATTCGTTGTCATGCCTGGCAGTGCAACAGTAAACTCTTGCTTGCTTCAGTAAACTCTATGCTTGCTTGCTTCAGTAAACGTGTCACAAGTACAACTATGCAACGCTCACTTTGCAGCCAGGCAAACATCGGCAGAAAGAAACTGCCATTTTGATACGATAACATGCTTGCACCATTACCATAAACAGGCTTAGTTTCGGAATATTGTCACTGTGTTCACAACCAAAACATTGGATGCAGCATGCAGGCTTGCAGATGGTGGCAATCTCCTCAAAAAGAAACCAGCAACTACCTAACCCTAAAAAACAGGGTGGTTGGCCAGCCAGAGTAGAAAAAGGAAACTTGCCTTGCGCTTCAGATTATACCGATGCCAGTCGCACCTGTAGTGGACCTTTTGAGCAGCTTCATCTGAAAAGGTCACGTTACAAGCGTTGCAGGTCATAGCGGTGGCCATCGAAACCCTTGCCTGCAGCAGCCAAATCCAGAAGATGTCGAACCACCCCCGGATCGAAGCAAAAAGGGGGCGATCTCCCTCCAAACCACAGTGCTGAAAGGCGCTGCCAAGAAGGAAGGTGAAAGCAACGGAAGCTGGGAACTGGAGCTTGAAAAAGTCTGCAATAGGTACCAGGTCCATGATCGATGGAGACTCTGTTTCGAGGAAGTTCTGAAGATCTTGATAAAGGTGCCAAGTGGAAAAGTGCTGACTCACACATGTGGAACTTGCTGTGTTTAGAAGCTCGTATAGGACACATGTTCTCTGGATTTCAGCAGCTCACCATTTTATGCATGATTCGATGCGTACTACACAAGTAGAACACAAGTGAAATTGGAATAATGAAAAATGTGGGAGCGCCTATCGGATCCAACTTTCGTCGCTTTTTCGTGCGTCCCGAAATTTTGTAGATTGTTGGAAAGGGGTGGAAATGGGCGTAAACAGACGGAAATTGGCATGTCTAGCTAGCAGAAGACGCGCTACTGCAACTCCATTGCAATGCAGGGCAGGCTGCCAGTGCAAGCTTCAGCTTCATGGCGAAAGGACTGACTGCATAAGAACAGCCTCATTGGATTTTGTCAGCATTGTCTACTTCGCTTCTTTGCGAAATTCTCCATCATTCCACGCAGCTCATTTCCAGTGCTATAAAAACCTTCCTTCTGCTTTCAGATGAGCACTCTCCTTCTTCCACGTTTGGCTCGCAGCCAGCTCGCAAACCTTTGCTCCTCCACGTCTTCAAGGAAAGCTAGCCCAACTCTAGAAAGCATTCCACGTCGCTTAGCTGCTGCGTCCCACCAAAGCCCCCTGCTCCAATCCAGATTGACACAGCTTTCAGAAAGCAAAGGGCCTTTGACAGCAAAGCCGGTTAGGAAGCTGAGTAGTCCCAGCCAAGCTCTGGTGACACGGGCACTGAGGACACAAGTGGAGACTAGCCCATCAAAAAACATGTGAGACTCGCATTGTATTTGTACTTGGAATCCACAATGCTGTCAGACTTTGATGCCTGTTTGCTGCAAAATCCCCCGATGCCTAACATCTCAATCACTCCAGGATTATAACAGCCTCAAAGCTGGCCCCATTGGTTCAAAGTCCCTCGTCCTAGGCAGATCCTGTTCTGCTTTCTTTCTAATAGTCTCAAGTATAAGCTGACCTTCCTCTCAGGACAGCATGCTTTTCTAACTCTACAATTTTGTATCGGCAAATGACCTTGTTGATCGATTTCCCGATTTTGCAGGTCGCTGCGTCTCATCCCCAATAAGGGACTGTACGTGTCTACCCCAACCTGGTGGCTTGAAAGCAGGTTCCACTTCAGTTTTGCTGAGTAAGTATTATCCGGCGATCCTCATTGGTGGGCAACTCAATTCCAGACTTTTCTATGACATCTTTGGTTCACAAATGCAGGGGGGTTTAAAATAGTTGTGTCGGCCACATACAGAGCAATTTGTGAGGAAATTGGAAATGGGCAATGCCAGCCTCATCTTCATCTTATCTTGGCATTCTTTTTCCCCATATCCTAGAAAGCCTACTCTTCCTTGAAGTATTGCAATGATTGGGCAATGCCAGCCTCAACTTCACCTTATCGTGGCATTCTTTTTCCCCATATCCTAGAAAATATACTCTTCCTTGAAATATTCCAATGATCTGCCTTCCTGCAAACACGCTCAGAATGAGTCAGGCTCTGATCAGATTGCAAGAAGTGAAAGCACTTGAGGAGTTAATTTTGTGAGACTGGATCAAGTCCAAGTGAATGGGTCACCAAAGATTTATCTCTGTGCTCCTGGAGCAATTTCTCAAGGTTATCGTTGTTGCTTTTCCAAGTGTAACCGTTGGCCATATGTTTTCCTGCAGGCACTATGATCCCAAGCGGACCGACTTCGGAGTGCTGCGGGTGCTCAATGATGACCTGGTGCAGGTGAGGAGTTGCAGATGTCTCCCTCAAGAGCTTCGTGTCAGAGTTCAGATTGCTAAGGGTTTGCTAGACAAGAAAAGGTAGAAAGCATATTGGAAGAGCAACATGACCGAAACATAGTAAGCAAAGGAATGGACCATGAGTGCTTGTCACATTCTTGAAATTCATGCCAGTATCTGTCACGAGCATTGTGGATATTCTTGTTTTATTCCAGTGCCCAGACTGCTTCGCAAGTCCAACCGTTGATTCCACGTGAACGATGGTACAGATCCCTGTACTGTGATACTAGGAAAACATGACACCTCAATTTTTCGTGTCTTGCAGCCTCACTCTGGTTTTGGGACGCATCCCCACCGCGACATGGAGATATTCACCTACGTCGTGAACGGGGAGCTGTGGCACAAGGACAGCATGGGCATGGCGGAGTCCCTGCCACGCGGCTCCGCCCAGTACCTCAGCGCAGGGACTGGCATTACACACTCCGAGATGAATAATGGTGACAAACTGTGAGTGCGCGCACACCCCCCCAACTCGGACACGAAGTTTTCTGCAGACAGCGGGGTTCAGTCTATGTGACGGTGTATGACTTCAGTGTTCTTGATTCTCTGGACTACCTGACTGTGACACTAGAGTGGTTTACATTTACGCTGGTGCCTCGAAGGGGCTTTCTGTATGGGCCTCCTTTTCAGGGACCTTTGGCAAGCTGGCCATTACTGGAAAGCAGAAATAACCGTTAAGTAAACAAATTCAGCAAGAATGTCGAATCTACTCATATTGAATCCGGGGAGTGAGACCAGAGTGGATTGTTGTCCCAAACATACCCAACAAGCATCCGAGGGAAAATCTTTGAAAAAACCCCATCGAACTACCTATGGTTGGAATCAAGTCCTGCAATCGCAGCACAGTTTTTTTCGACTCTCCTCGACTCAGTCGAACATACTGACCCCCGACGCCCCTGCTCCTTCCCCAGGCTGCGCTTCCTCCAGATCTGGATCAAGCCGGACGCGCGCGGCTACAAGCCCAACTACGGGTCGCGGCAGTTCCCGTCCAAGGAGGTGCGCCACAACCAGCTGCAGCAGCTGCTGACCAGCTACAAGCGGGCCGCATCGGAGGAGGACACGGGGAGCGGGGTCATCCCCATCCACCAGGACGCCAACATCTACGTATCTGAGGCGGACCCGGGAGTGAAGCAGGAGTTCACGCTGGAGAAGGGCCGCCAGGCGTACCTTGTGTGCATTGAGGGGGCGCTCAGCGTGAACGGGACGGACATGGAGGAGCGGGACGCTTTGGAGGTGAGGATGCGGTGTGGGTGACTGCCAGCGAAAGTAAGGCGGAATTGTGGTGTTCTGCAAGGGGTTTCTGCTTGAGAGCCAATAGGGTATGGCGCGTGAGGACAGGACGCTGCCGGAGTTGCCAGGGTAGCATGCTGCGTGCTTCCAATTGCTTGAAGCCCTGAGATCGTGGACGCTTTGAGACCGTTGGTGTGGATGGACTGAGTTTCAGTATACGAGCGGACAGCCGTGACCTTCTGGAAGAACCAGGCCCAACATTTCAAAGCAGACGTTGATTGTTTTGACGTGATTTGGACCATCTTGGCTGATAAGTCTTGTGCAAGTTCTGATTTTCGTCGTCCTTTCTCGTGGCTTGCAGGCCGTCGCCCCCAAGACCGATGCTCTTCCCTTGAACCTGGAGGCAGATGCGCAGAAAGGCGCGCACTTCCTGATGATCGAGATGGCCCAGCCGTAGGCCATGGAGAACACAGCTTGCTGTATACAATAGAGTTATGACAGCCGCAAATGAGCTAGGCGGCTCTTGCGGGGTGCCAACAATAGGTCAAAGAAAAGTTGGCTTGGTGGTTGTGGAAACGTTTATAGGGGCTGGCTGAGTTGAGCTGTCGGGTTTAAGATCTAGTTCAACAGCCATATTGCTTAGCTTAAAGTTAGACGTAAGTTGCAAGAATAAATACTTGGGCATCCGCATTCAATTGCATGCTGCACCTACGCACAGCATTAGAGAGGTCGTATATTCTGAACTGGGACATGTTGTGCAGACGGCCTAGAATGTAACATAATCTGACGCCAGCAATTGGTTGAGAACATTTTGCATTTTTAGGAAGTCTTGAGTCCCAACTGTTGCTACATTCCATCGAAGGGTCGGCTACTTGTTTGGGATCGAACACAACGAACGAATAAAAGTTTAAACTAGACACCCACCGGGCGACCTGATTTTATGCTGATTGTATACACATGTTTCTTCGCTTGCTTCAAACCATGCTCATCGTTCAGGTTGATTGGCAGTCATAGGCGCGGGGAGCGCGGAACTGGAACACGTGTACTAGCAGGATGCGCATTATGTACGTGAACACTGTCTCTATCTAGTGATGCAATATTGACGGTCGGCACATAACGAATTGATGTACAAGAGATCATAGTGTGTTCAAACGTCATGTACGTGTTCAACCATCATGAGTCATGTGCCCTGGAGTCACTTGAGGGTTCTGAAAACCAACCGGCTACTTAGACGGACCTTTGCAAGCGATTGTATACAGGGGATATACAGCTGCAGGATCTGCATGGCCATTTGTTCACAGAATGTGTAACTCGGTGATGATTGTTTGCATTTGGCCTCGAACTCTACATGGCCTCAATGGATTTCAAGGGGAGTAAACAAACAACCAACAGCAAATTATCTATATCCGGCCATGACAACCACCGTCGATATCCATTGCGACGTTTCAATCAGATCGTGATGCCATCTCATGCGGAACTTTAAGCTCTAGAGCTAGTCTAGGGTCCCTTAAGTTTCTGAAATCTTCTTGTGGCCTTTCTGCCTGACCATGCCCGAGTCCCCCCGGCCAGACGGCACGAACCAATGATGGCATCTGCATGACTCACGAGCCGGGCACGAGCCCCCCTCACGAGACTCGCCGCCTTGGCAGCTTCATGGCCACCGTGGATAGCTGCTGTTGCGACTTGCAAGAATTCGTTAAATAGGCTCGAAATAACGACCAGTTAACGGGCTGTGCCATCATCCGACGACTAATTCATCATCTGTGGCCGAGTCGTAGGGATCCCTGGATCCCTTTGCACTAGCGTGTCCGGATTGGCCCCGAGCGGAACCGGAACCAGTTGGCAGCTTTCCGTCCGTTCGGACTCGTCTCACCGGAAAGCCGTTGCACGAAGTTGGCGGGCAGCTCCACTTCAATGAGCAAGCGTCACGGTCGCCAGAATCGGCTCTTTTTGGACATTTCAGGCGAAACCCGGAAGGAGTTTGGGTAACGTGGTAGTGTTTTGTGACCCGCAGTTCTCGGGATTTCTGGGCACCGTCGATCCATGTCGAATTTGAAGGCTGAAAAGTGATGCATACATCCGTTCGACGACGTACTTTCGGTGGTCGTCCGACCTTTCGCCGGCTCCTTTCGAGATGGTTCTCGACTTGCCAAAATGCAGCCAAAAAGATCTGAGCGGAGGGGAAGGCGACCGCGAGAACATTCCTCGTGCATGCTGGAGATCTCAGGAGAGAGCTAGGGAAGCAAAGAGTTGCACTACTTGCACTGGCAGCCTGCATGGGCGCATGTACCTAGGTGTCTCCTAGCAATGATAATCTCAAGTATGCAGAGCGCTCCAGCAATGGAGGGTCGCAGCAGATCTGAGGATGTCAGGGAGCTTGAAGCTCTGTCTTTATTATTGCTGCTGCAGAAATCAGTTCATCATTGTTCTGACCGTAGACCTTCCGGGCATCCACTTCTGCAATCCAAGGCAACGGCTGCTCTGCCATGTTTGTCAGGCGGTGGCCACATTGCGGGCATATTCCAAGAGTTTACCGCGCAGTGCGCTGGAAAGAGTGTTGGAGATGGACATTGCACTGCTCTTGACCATTGTGAGCTAGAGCGCCGGAAGCCAGCATATCCTTACACAGAAAGCGGCTGGCAAACGCAAGACAGAAGTGCCAAGGTTGCGTCCTCAGGCAGGGGCAGAAGAAAAGCAGGGCGTTTGTGTAAAAAGCATCATGTAAGCTGCTCAGCCGCTCTGAAGATTAGAAGTGAAGTTGTGCAGAGGTACCTGGCTTCGCTTGTAACTTATTCTGTGACACTGTCTGCTGCTGCTGGTGGTGCTGGCTAATGATTGGAGAGCCAGGTAAGGGTGGCCACCTAGTTGCAGGGGATCCACAAGACTTTGATTGGGGTCCTTGTTGGTCTGTGCAAGTTCAAATGCCCAGACCTGTCTCATCCGCTTGTGCATTCAGCAGGGGTAAATACACAGACAGTGCAAGAATTAAGTGCATGGCAATCAATGATGGACTGGGTGTGTCAAAAGCACAATGCATATCCAACGAGCAGTGATGTCAGTGCTAGCTATCCAAAGAGTATTCCAGGATCAGAAGAAGTCTCATTGTACAAAATGCGGGGCCTTTATGCTTTGCATTTCTTTGCTGGAAGACTCATGTGCATTACAGTTGTTTTCCATACTCCACTAGAATGTGGGTCCCTCACTGATCTCAACTGCATTGCTTGATGTATATGAAGTACCTCAAGTGAGATTCCCTGCATTGTTTTCTGAAAGGCCACATTTAATCACAAAATGGTACTGAAGTTTCTTTCTTGAATGCAGGTCTTTACGCCACATTCCAAGCGACCGACTGCATGTCTCCACTCCCACTTGGTGGCTGCAGTCGCACGTGCATTTCAGCTACGCAGGACATCAAGACCCAGTTCGAGACGAGTTTGGGGTCCTCCGTGTGCTTAACGATGACATTATCCAGGTAAGTGTTGTCAATATGGTTACTGAGGATTGTGTGGCCCTCCCAGTGTGAAGAAACTAGTTTGTCTTTGAAGCCAACAAATGGCAGCTTGTGAACTCTTGATGCTGCTGCCTACGTTGGCGAGTGGCTGGTGATTTATCTACTCAGCTTGTTAAGCTTGAAATCATGCCTCTACATTTCTTCCTTCACAATTCTAGCTCTAGGCGATGCTAGCTTAAGCAATCACGTCTTCCATAGCACGCCTGCAATAAGAGTCCACATCGGTTGCTTCGAACATGCAAATAGTGAGGAGGTTCCTTGTCGTGCAGCCCCTTGCTGGATTCAACACGCACCCGCACCGGGACATGGAGCTGGTGATGTACATTGTGGAAGGGGAGATGCTGCACAGGGACAGCCTGGGGGGCACCGGCCTGCTGCCGCGGGGGACGGTGCAGTACCTGGGGTCCGGGACGGGGATGACGCACTCGGAGATGAATCAGAGCAACACAGCCCCGTGAGTAATGGTGCCTGGGAAGCTTCAAGAGGTCCTGGACAAAGTTATCTGGATGCAGTCTTTTTCGTAGAAACTTCCTTTTCAGGCGCGGACTCAGGTATGAAATAAGAGATGTGAGGGAACGGAACGGCACATGAATATGTAAAGACTGGGGTCTGATGGCCGCTGAGAGAACAGGGTAAAACAGGGATCGATCAGCTTTTTGTCTGGCCATGCTAGTACCTCCAACAGTACCCTTTGACTTGTGGTTTGGACCTACTCGGACTTATCTCGCCTTGCCTAATCTCTGATCGTGGAAACTTTCTACGGTTTTTTCCTGCATGAGAAGCGCCGTCCTTTTCCCTGATCCTCACCTTGTGTCTTTTCTTTCCAGGTTGCGTTTCCTCCAGGTCTGGATTAAGCCCGACGCGCGAGGCTACCCCCCTGCTTACGCCTCCCGGCAGTGCACGAGGGAGGAGCGCCACAACAAGCTAAAGCAGCTGGCGTGCGGTCACCAGGGTTTGATGGCCAGCTTCTCAGCAGGGGGTGGCAGCGGCAGCCTGGACATGATCTCCCTGCGCCAGGACGCCAACATTTTCGTGTCCGAAGCGGACCCGGGCGTCCGGCAGACGTTTGCACTTGAGAGGGGCCGGCAAGCGTACCTGGTATGCATGGAGGGCGCGCTCACTGTGAATGGCGTCGTGCTGGAGCAGAGGGATGCCCTGGAGGTGAGCCGACGCACCTCGCTTTTGTAGGTGCTCCTTAGAAGAAGGTGCGGTGGCGCGTTTGGAGGGCTCGCGGAACCGGGCTTGTTTTCAAGGGCAACTCTCGTTGGCAAGGTTTTAGGATTGTCGAACTTGGAAAGGACACTGTTTGTCAACCATTTAGAATGGGGTATTGAAGGTGGTTGAATCATTGACGTGAGCTTGATGTTGTTGGTTCTCCCAAATCATTTGATTTGGTCCGAGTTGATTTGGTTTCAGCCCATTACGAAGCACCTGACAATCTGGGCTCTCTTGGGACAGCTTGTGCACCTCTTGATACTCGTGCACTTCTTGATACTCGATTGTATAAACTGCAGGCTGTTGCCGGAAATGACCAACCGCTGCCGCTGCGGTTCGGGGCCAGCACCGAGACGGGGGCGCATTTTCTCGTCATTGAAATGTCCGGGGTGGACTGACAGCATGCGTGTGCGGAAAGTCCATACTTGATTGATGCCCTCCGTATGATTGGACATTTTAATGGAAAGTCTAAAATGACATTGTTCCGTAGCGATCACATTGATCGTCAAAAGGACAGTCATAGACGCAAGCTTGCATGCGTAGGTTTATGGCTGCTGGAGATCAGCACCAGTCTTGAATCCTTTCTCTTATGAAAGGTTTTTAGAGTAAGGGGACCTTTAATTACGTAGCTGTGATAATGACGTACTTGCAGCCAGCAGGTTCCGCACATCGCTCAAGAGTCACCCAAGTTAGCCAGACTGTAAGATAAAACAAGCTTGTGTAGGGAAGGCCAGTGGGAGATCCTGGCATCCGCCAGGAGCGAGCCAGGTCTGTTGCAGGCTAGTGTATTGTCCAGTACCTGTTGGCAAACATTGGTGGTGGGCTTAGAAGTAGACGCTGATTTGCATGTGTACATACATAGTGCGCGGCAGCGCCTAATTTATATCATCTCGACTCTCAAGTATCCAATACTTGGTCAAGTCCGGCTATATATATATCGCTTGCCGTACATAGATGTGTCTTTAATCATTCAGTGATGCCACAAGCTTCAACCATGTACTGTTCCATGCATGCTCACTCGCAAAGCTTTGTTCCATGCTGAAAAAGTTGCTTTGTGTGGGGAAATGCTGCAGGCCAAATGCAGGGTCGAGCATGTCATGCAATGTATAGTAAATTGCCGCCGGCGCCATGTATAAACGAACGATAGTTTTAGCACAAGCATTGATTTACACAGCACATGCATGATCGAACCCATATAACATCAAACGATCCAACCGTCGTAGTTCGACTAAGGTCTTGCCGGCTCGCTCAATGCATTATTCCATCATCGGCTTGTTAGCGTCCAATTATTCCGAAAAGCTGCCATCGGATGGGCCACGGGCCCCGTTTTCTGATTGCAGATTGAGGCTGAATCGTTTAAAAGTTCTTCATCCGTCCCGTGTCCGGTTCACAAGCTACACTCAAGAAAGCCGTTTCAGATAACACGTGGGCTTACGATGCCTACTCAAGCCACTTGCCTGCTTAATCCTGTCAATTGCTCTTTCAACTCCTTCTTCCGCTATATCCTAACGGGCCTCAGCCCCTCCCGTAGCCTTGCTCAAATTTAGGTCTGTGGACCCCAGTCTCCAAGTCCAGTTATTAGGTCGGCCGCTGCCTCAGTTCGTTGCTTTCGGGCTTCCGTCAGAAGTCCTCCGCCTCCGGCTACCCCGCCTCCGGCCGTGCATGCCCCAAGGTCATGCAGTACGTACCCCCCTTTTTGTTCCGCTTGCACTGGGGGCAAGCCTGCGGCCTGTCTGGATCGCGGGGCCCCCTCTTCTGCGAACTCGGTGTTCTTGGCTCTAATTTTGGCTGCTCCCCGGCTGGCACTCCGTGCCCCAACGCCGAACAGAAGCGGCCACCTTTCTTTCGCCTCCTGCATTTCTCGCAAGCTTTCGTACCAGGTTCCTCGCTGCTCTTCCGCTTCCCGCTCAAACTGTCCTTCGGAAGCGCCTGCTTCGTTTTCCTCCTCCCATCGTCCACCCCTCCTCGCGCTTGGCCCACGCCTGCCCGTTGCGCAATCGGACAGTCCTCCGAGGATGTCTCGTCCGTTTCTGGCCGACCTTCCGCCTTTGCCGTAGTTTGTTCCCAGGGTTCCGAGCTCGGCACGGACTCGGAATCGAACGTCGGCGAAACACTTCGCCGTCCTGAAACCTCGACTCGGCTGGGGCCCCGCCTCCCTGTCGAACCGACCCCAGTCACCCTACCCCGTTCCGCTCCGTTCCGTTCCGTGCCTCCCACATGCTCATCTTCCTGGCGGAATCCTGTCCCCCGACTGCCCATTCCAGCTCTCACAGACCCGGGATCCACGTAATCCGTTTCCGAATCATACCCAAACTGGCGCTTCGCGAGTCGAGGGCTCCGCCGCACGGGGCTCATACCATCTTCCGCCAGATCCGGGGACGGAGGTCCGCTGTCCCTGATCGCTGACCCCGGCAAGACTGCTAAAGCCGGCGGCCGCAGACCGTTACCAGACCGGGTCCCATTACCGGTGTTACGGCCCGCCGCCAGCCGATCCTGAGCGGCGCGGTTCGTTTGCCGCTGCCGCCGCGTCTGGCGCTGCGGGTTCTGGGACGCGAGGCGCGGCTCGTCCAGGCGCGCGCACGCGGCCAGGAAGGCGGCGTGGCACGGGGGGCAGTACCAGTCGCCCTGCAGACAGCAGGGGGACGGCTCAAAACGGAACAAGCGTATGGCCGCCGATCCTGAGGGTGTGAGACACCTACTCGCAATCTACTGAGAATCTTGTGGTCGGCTACAAGAAGTAGCGCATACGAGCTAGCAATGAAGAAGCTGGGCAGGCTCCTAAGCTTATAGAACATACTTAACGTAAGCACCACATGAGATAAGCATCAACTTCTAGAAGCGCGCAGTTGAATGGATCCCTACAGTTTTGCTCGTACTTGACACCTGGCAGAAAGAAGATTCGCTCAAAGAGCAAGCTTCTGGATTCCCTTCTGAACCTGCCGATCGCTCTGCCACAAACGAACCAACAGAAGAATTGAAAAACTTATGCACATCCGTCTTCATTCTCCAATATAAGCCGGTGTCGCTTTTCTCCACACTTAGCCGGCATCACTTCCCCTCAACTAACCAGAGACCCTGCAGTGTTTGGAACGGTGGCTTTACCTCGGGGACGGCTGCAAGGCCGATGCACCAGAGGTGGTAGCCCTTGTTGCAGTTGTCGCAGATGAGGATGTAGTTGCCCGCCTCGTCCTCCGTCTCGTCCAGGCTGCACACCTGCACCCGCCGCACCCACCGCCGCGTCAGAAAAGTTGATCGCCATGGACTCATCAATTGACGAACTGCGATGGGGATCAGTTCCTCCGAAGAGAAACGGCAAGTGGCCGGCCAGGCACATTATCGCCTCGGGCGGGTTGTCTACGCTGAAAACAACAGGCAGTCCATTGAAAATTGGTGGACCAGAGCGCATTGAGATGGAGCCCATCGGTTGACGTAGCCGTTGCTTTGCTGCTTCTGCTGGCCAAACCAGGCGAATCTGCGAAGTCTACTTCGATCCGAAGCGGCTAGATGTAGTAAAACCGTCCCAGGGACTCTGCAAGATCAAGCAGAATGCGCCTATGCTATGAGATACGTCAGAATGCTGACCTCGCACATGACGTCAGCGAACTCGTTGGCCCCGTGGTCCTCGTCGTAGCTGGGCCTCAGGTTGCGGTGCGCAATGATCGCGCCCTCAAACACGGGGATGCGCGCGCGGCAAGTGGGGCACCTGCCGATAAAGATTGGCACACGATGACGTTTGATAACAAGCTTTCTCTTCCAAAACGAGATGCCATTTGAGAAGGCGAACAACAATTAACAGAAAGCTCAAGGAAACCCCGGCCCCAGTGAGGGCTGCCAGGGTTGTTTGAGCCGTGGCTAAAGCCTGTTCACTGAAACGGCAAAATGTCCGACTGGACCGTCAAGGATTTGAGGCATACTGGAGGCCTGTTACAACAAATCCGTGGGAGTCTTCTCAAAATCAGAAACCATAAGAAGCTAAAAGCCGGGAGCTCGCTTTGCCCACGAAGAGCGCTACGGTTGAGGTGAATGGCGAGAGAACCTGTGACATGCCCAAGCGTTCTCCTTGATCTGAATAAATGACACAGATCAGTTTCACTACGACAAGCAAGAGTAGGGGCGGGCGCTCACGAGTTGCTGGAGGTGAGCCAGTTGAGGAGGCAGGGCCGGTGGAAGATGTGGCCGCACTGCTCCGTCTGGCACAGCTCGCCCTCGGCCTCCACGTCGAACTGGCAGATGCTGCACCGAGCTGCACGCACGAGGGGACGTGTTTTGCGCTCTATTTGAAAGTTTCGTTTTACCAGCGTGTAAGCGTACACAGCCAGAAGGGCAAAACATCGGGGCTCAGACGTTGGAAACAATCTTGTACCAGACGGACGGAGTGTTACCGAAGTAAGAACGAAAAGTAACATCCTCAAGAAAGCAGCAGGACGGGGCATGGTACACTCAAATACCAAAGGCGCGCAAGCCAGGCCTTGTCTCTTTCCCTGTTGGATCGTCCCTCACTTGAATGTAGGCACAAGTACCTTGCTGCAGGACGCTTTGCCAACGACACATCCCCGCAAAGCCAAATCTCAACAAAGTTTCGTAAGCGACTTACGGTCGTGCAGCCACTTCTCCACCCGCGCTGCGAACGCAACCGCCTGCGCGAGCTCCCCCTTGGCAAACCGCTGCCGCCGGGGCCGCCGCCCCTCCGTCGGCACCTCGTAGAACACCTCCAGTTGGTCAGGGGGGCATAGCGTCCCCTTCTCCAGGCCCCCAAACTGGCTCTCCACATCCGGCTGGGACTCTTGTCCCTCCCCCTCCTCAGCCCCCTGCTTTTCTGTCGGCCTTTGTCTGCCCCCTGCAGGAGCCACTCCGGCAGCTGCAACCTCCCCTTCCTTTTCTACTTGCTCCAGCAGCGTGCACGCACTCCCCAGCGCCCCTTGTTCCGAGTCCGTCAGCTTTTTCCCGACGAGACGCCGAACCACATATCGCGCCCCCGCTTGCGACGCCTTCCAGGCCTTTCTCCGCAGCACAGACTCTGTCAAAGTGCCAATGTCCGGCAGTCCGCTGACCGGCCGCGCCTGAAAGTCTAGAGCCGCCCGCACGTCCATAAGCTGCCGCCGCGACTCATGAGCTATGGGCCGGACGTCCAGTTCTCCCACCGGGGGAGTGCCCGCGAGCAGGTAAAACGCCCACCCCCCAATCTTGGTCACAAGCCCGACCACGTCGAACCGGAGCGCGGCTCTCTGCTCCTTGCTGGCGGCTTTGTACTGCACCCAGTTTTCATTTTCTGCTTCCTCCGGCTTCTCCGCGCCGTTCTTCTCGGCAACAACAGGGGCCACTCCTTTTTTCACCGGTTGCACGTTCATGCCGAAAGCATCCGTGCACACCCCGAGCGAAGGAGGCCCCGAACGAGCCCCGGCCTTTACTGCTTCCCGCAGATCCCCTTCGTGAACGGACGCCACGTCGACCCCTTCCGCATAAGGCCCAACAACCGACCTCCGCTTTTTCAGGTGGAGGCCCCTATCTGCCGTTGCTTGCTTCTCAGTCTCGGTCTCTGTTAGACAGTCCCTGAGCCCGTTTCTCTTGGCTTCCGTTTCCTTTGCGCCGGTCCTTTCCGTGCCCGTCCCTTGCTCCGTCTTTTCCCTTTGGCCCGATCTCCAGCGGTCTCCCTTGCTGACGCCTTCCGCAACCTTGTCCACTCCCGCCGCAGGAAGCTCTGCTCTCTCTGCCCTTCCTCGTTTCGCTGGCGCCCCGTCGTCCTCTTCCAGACACGCCGCGCGCCCCTTCCTGGGCCAGATGTAAAAGTCGTCGCTCCCAGGACAGGCATCCAGACCTGAGACATCAGCAGCAGCCCCCTGGTCCTTTCGGAGGGGATTTTGGAGCCGGCCCTGAGCTTCGAGGTGGTCCTTCTTTCCCCCCACCGACTCCGAGCGGGATCCCAACGAAGGCACATCCCTTGCAATGACCGCCCCCCCTTGCATCTCCCTGGGTCCGTCCTCTCGATGGGCTAGCTTTCTGCTCACCGAAGGAACGGGATATTGCGCAGCCTCTAGGCTGCTTCGACTCTTGGACGGCAACAGGCCCGACTGGATTCCCCCGCCTAGCGGCAGCCCCCGCCCCCTTGTGCTCGGCCTCCGGAGGGCCTCCCACTCCTGGCCGCTCAGCTCGAACTCGTCCTCTGCTGACGTCAGATTGTGCCCCTGTTTTTCCCCACCTGCCCCCTCGGCCTTTGCGCAAGCACCCTCCTCGAAAACATCCAATTCGCCCTTTAGTCTGGCCTTTCCGGTTTTCCGGGGTGCAAATAGTGAGCCCTTTTGAGGAGCAGCAGTGTTAGCCTCAGTACTAGTCTTGTCCCCAACTCCTTCCCCAGAATCAGCCCGTTGCACTCCAAGTTCCAGTCCTGCGGCACACTCTGACTCCCCTCCAGAGAGCCCCCCCTCTTCCCAAGCCTCCCTTTCCTCTTCTGACGCAAACTGATGGTCGTTGTTGCTTTGCCTCTTTGACTGGACGCTCGCGCAGGCGCCCACTCCCGTTGCGCCACCTGGCAGCTCCGCCTCGCTCGGCACCGTTAGCCGGACCTCGGAAGGGGTTTCCGGAACCACCTGATCGGACTCGCCCACCAGGTCAAACGCGTCCAGCAGAGACCGCTTCTGAATCCCTCGCCTCAGGTACTTCTTTCGCAGTCTTCCAAGAGGCACCGCCTCTTCGCTAACATCCTCGAGACCCTGTTTGGCGAGCCCGACCCCTCCTCCGGCTAGTGAATCCGGACCAGGTGGGCCCAGGACAAGGCCCCCGGGCTTGAAGCTGGGTGCAGGTTCGAACGCCGGCTGAGGCTTTGCAACAGCAGCCCGCCTCTCCGCAGCCTCAGCTACCGCCTTTTGGAGTGTGTTCCTCTTAGCCCCAGCAACAGCTGACGGCCCCCTCTGTCGTTTTGACCCCGCCGATTCTGATTTTTCAATTTTGTCCCCAGCATCTGCCTTGCCGTTTTTAGGCTTTCCCTTGGAGATTTCGGTATGGAAGTCGGAAGGTTCCCCTCCCGGAACTTTCCTTCGTAACACCTCCTGGGTCGCTTCTTCCTCGCGTGGCTCCTGCCCCTCCTCCAGCTGGCTGGCCAGCATTCCCCTCCCCAGCCGCCCCAAGGCTGCATAGAAGGCCGCCTTCTGGGGGGCCACTTCTCCCAGAATATCCTCCCCGGATGCACGGGCTTTCTCGTCTTCATCCAACCGTGTCCTGAGCTCCTCACCCTCCAGATCCTCATTCGTTATCCGTTTATGCTCGCCTAAAGCCCGCTTTCCCCGCTTTCGCCGTTCCCCGGGATGCTCTTTCTGACCGCGGTCCGTCCCTTGCACCGGCATCCGTGCCAGCAACTCTGGCCCTGCCTCAGGATCACTTCTAATTGCCTGCAAAAGGGATTGTTGGGGTCCAGATCAGACATTGTGCCAAAACGAAGCACTTCTGATGAAGCATCCCAGTACTGCCTGACGAAAGAAAAAGCAAAACATTGAAGGGCACTGAGGACCACCTGAGAGAAAAGCACTTCAAGACTGAGGCTACATGTTTGAGGACAAAAGTGGACAAGTTGAACACAAAAGCAATGCTCCAATCTCGCGGTACCATGATGCTTGGCTGTTACAGGAAGCCCACCACATCCTGCATATTTTACTTTACTATTACTTTATTTATTTATTATACTTTAGCATATTTTCCTGGGCCTTACAACCGAAGCCAAGGTCCTAGGTCCCAACCTACAGAGCCAGCTTTAGGCAAAAGAACCCCTTCGTGCATTGCAGAGCCTCACCTTTGCAGGCAGCACTCGATCTTCTCCACCATTCAGACCTTCCCCAGCCTTTGGCACACCTCCGTCAGCCGCTGCCCTGCAAACCCGTCGCGCCAGCCCAGATCCGGCTCGCACACCATCTTCCGGGCCCGCTTTTGCAGCCAGCTCCCTGGCGCCCATGCTAATCAGCGGCCCCATTAGTGCAGGGTCCAGTCCAAGTCCACTTTTCCTCTCGCCCCCAGGCACCGGGGCCTTTCCCTCCACTTTTCTCCTTTTAGGACTTCTCCCCTCTTGCTCTCCTACCCCTTCGTGCGCCTTCCCCCCTCTTACCACCCCCGCCATGCCACCAGGCTCACCGACTACATCATTGACACCCTTTTCCTCACGCCCCATTTGCCTGCACCCTGCGCCTGCCCCAGCATCAGCATTCCGTCCCCCCACTTCCGCTTTATTCCCCTGCTCGGCCCCCACCCCCGCGTGTCCCCCTGCCGCCGCAGCCGCTTTGGCAGCCACGCGGCGGGCCCTTCTAGCCCTCTTGGCAGCCCGCCTGATCTTCCGCTGCCTCCTCTCCGCTTCGTCCCCCAGCTCATCCACAAACTTTACCGCTCGCACGACGTCTACCCGAACGCCCTTCCCGACTCTCACATACGGGAGCGCCGCACGGGACACCGTCAAGTACCGCAAGGGCTCCTGCTGCCCCCTCACAAGGCCCGCGTGGCCATCTCCTTCTTTGTTGGGGACAGCATTGTTCCCCCCTTCGTCCCTGAAGCACAGGCCAGCGTGCAGACCCCTGGCGCCTCCTCCCGGACCCGTACTGGTAGCATCTGGTGCCGGCTGCTCTCCCGCTGTTTGGGTAGGTGCTCTCCCCAGGACAGCTGGATTGTCAGCCGTTTTGCTTTGCCCCAACTCTGCACCGCTTGTCATTGCTGCTGTGCCGTCAGGGCTGTCTGAAAAGGCCCCGGACCCACAGCATTGTCCAAGTAACTGTTTTGACTGGCCCAGCTGCTCTGGCAAGACTGTCAGCAAGGTATCCACTCTCAGCCCGCTTTCAATGAGCCTTAGGCCTGCAATGAAAGTGAGCAGAACCAAAATCAGAAACTGAGATAAATGATTTGCAGCAGAAAGGAGGTTTGAGCTTGTCAACGCCCCCACTCACAGCCCATAAACCCATTGCGTTCTCAAAGGAAAGCATTCAAAGGCAATAACTGAACTGGAAGAAATGCTGGGAGAGTATGCATCTCACAGAACTTGTGAAATCATTCCAGGAAGGAACACCTCGGTCCTGATCGCGCTCAATGCAGTAAAGCATCATGCAATGTTCACCAGATTGCCCATTGTGCACCCTCCATTTGTTCAGTGTTGAATACGTCACCCTTGGTTCTGGAGGTGCCGCACTCACCATGGTCATTGAAGCATGACTTCCAGTCCTGCAGTTCCCCTACGATTATTCGCCAGAGCACCTCCAAAACACCGCCAATCGATTCTGTTGCCTTCCTCGCCGTTACAAATGCTGGTGGTTACGGGTGGAGAATGCAAGCCGGTCTTGTCTGGAAACTCTTGCAAAGCTTCTTCTTGGATCAGTTTGTAATGCTTCTAGATGATTAGCTGAATGCTGTAGTGCTCAAGTCCCAGAAGCACACGAAGAGCAGCAGATTGAGCTTGATAGGCCCTGACCTTCTTTGCCCTTGACCAATCCTACTGATAATGGTGTGCAATGGCAAATCGTCACTCGGTCATCTACCAAGGTAATACCATATGAAGCTGCTGACCACCGAAGCCTTCAAGAAGCAAAAGGTTGCTTGAGAGACCATAGAAAGGCAACTCGAACCCATGATCACTGCCACCTTGGCCGCCATTGCAAGATCATGTTGCCAGGCTGTCATGCACCGGATTTGAAGACGCCAATGTCGCACTGTGACTCTGAGCTCTAGCTTTGAGGCGTTGCACACGTGCGTGCATGCGACTTTTTCAAATTTTCAAAAGCAATTTGATTTGTTCGCGCCAAAAGCCCGGAAATGTACCCGCAGTTTGAGTTTCCATTTCGGAGAATAAAACCAGCCGAGCAAATCCTGCCTAATGTGGTTGGGTTCTTCCCGAACGCATCTCTTATGTAATTTAACGGCAGATGGGTTTTGGCCCTGGGGTTCGCCAGTCAGCGACCTAGGTACCGTAGGCAGCCTGCAGGATTTGGCCCTGAGTGGGCCTTGCTTGCATGATGCAGGAATCAGCCATGCATGCTTCTGTGGCGCAAATTCTCATCTTGTCATTCAGGTTTCAGGTACCTAGGAGGTACAATGTGGTTAGGGAGGCATAATGTCAATGGTGTATTCAGGCATTGTTCGTAAAGACGAGCCTCAAATGCGCACTATCATTACCCCACTTCAGTGGTAATTGGACACCGCTCGGCTGAGTGATTGAAGTCTGTGCGGTTGCTGATGTTTGGCTCTTGGTCGGCATGAATTCGGGGGAACGCGCTCAGCTTTAGATACCGCGGGTAGAGGTAAGAACTTTCAGTCGCCTTTTGCAAATCTGTCTCTTTATGCTTAGACATGGTAGTCAGACCCCAGAACTAGGGGTGCACTTGATATGACAAGTCTGCCACTGTGCTTGATGTGGTTCGTTGCAGTTGCTGTACCTCTAATCGTGTCCCTCAATGTCGATTTGAGAATTGAGTGCATTCTTTACCACAGTAGACTTTCCGGACATTGTCGATTGCATGCAATGCTGGTGGAAGAGCTTTTTCAGAGTGTGCTGAAGCAATGGAACAGCAATGTTTGTTCTGTGCACAGGCACACCTTCATAAGTTGGTAATATAAAAGGCAATGAGCCACACACTTCATGCTCAGAAGGATCTGCCAATGTTTGAATTACAGCTGCGCGGTGCTGCGCACAAACAAGTTTTGGCAACACTCTAAAAGCATCTCTGCAGAAGATTCTCAACCTGGCTGAAGTTTTGACAGTTATTTGCCTCACAAACCTTGCTCTTGAAGGGCGAAATGATTGCACCCTGACGCTACCTACTGAAAAGACTGTTCTTTTGAAGCGGCACTAAATCATCTTAGAATTGGGTGGTCACGGCCAGATGCCGAGAAAGTATCCACTCTGATGGTTCTCATGCACTCATGATGGTTCTAAGTAAGGCAGCTCCCTGCCTCAACCACTCTTCCTGCAATTGAGCATCCAATTTACCATGGCGCCCATTGCCCTGCAATCGATATTCTTCATTTGTCTGGGAGTCAAACCTCCTCACGACTTGCGGAATCTAACTGATATCCCCCATCTTTAGCCTCCTCCCGTGATTTGCTTCAACTGAAGCTTGAGTTATAGAGGGCCAAGGGCCCCTGTTTAAGTACTTTTTCTGCACATTCAGCTTTATCTTGTGGGACTGTGCATCAGCAGCTCACGTACACTCTTTGTTTTGTTGTTCTCAGACAATCCTTGGCAAAGCTGAGGACCATTCGAGGGGCGGCCCTATACGAAGGAAGCGACACCAAGCCTGGGCCTTGTACCAGTTTTCCAGCCAACAAATCCACACGACTGGCGGCGCTTCCAATGATGGATTCAAGTCCACAGGCCCCGGGGCCTCGGAGTCTGTCGCCCCTGTCACCCGAGAAGCGCTCCGCTTGTCTGTTGATGCGGCGCGCGCAAAACCGCAAGATCGGGCACTTTCTGGCCTGGACGGTGGGGAGGAAGAAGCTAACCAGGGAACAAAGCAGCGTCCTGAAAGGAGTGGTAGGACGGGGCCAGGAAGTAGGGAAGAGGCCTGCGAGGGAACTCGAAGAACCGCTAAGCGGCAGCAAGAAGGCACGCGGGAAGAGTTTGGGTGAGGGTTTTCACCAGGAGCCTCGAGTCCCAAAAAGGAGAAAGCGCGAGTACACCGAAGCGAGTATAGCGCCAGAGGCTGCCATGGAGACTCCAGCCAAAGAACTGTTCAGAGCGGCTGGGTCCACTTTGAAACCAAACGGAAGTAGTGCAGGGGGTGCACGTCAAGAAGAAGTGAAACCTCAATCGCATGGGGCATCACACAGCATGGGGGAGAAGCGGGGCAAGCGCAGAATTACGCCGATCCCCAGCCCGCCAGTCAGCCGGCCTGTCTCCGCAGAGTCGAGTGTCATAAGAAACGAGGGGCCGGATGCTGAGGAGGCCTCCCAGCAGAGTGCGCTGGTGCGTGATCTGGCTGAGAGCTTTAGCACAGTTAGCACGGACGAAAAAGGCTCTGTTGCTGCAAACCAGGCCGTGCCTTGGAGGTTGTCCGAAGCTGAGGAAGGGGCTCCATCCGGGTCGGGACCGCCCCCAGCTTCCCAAACTCGACAAGCCAAACCCGTGAGGATCCGGAAGCCCCCCGAAGCGGACGTCGAGCTTGATCCGAGGGTGGAAGAAGCACTGCGCTACTTGGGCACAACTTTTGGGGACATTCGAGGGGGTCAGCCGGTCTCCGGTGCTTCTAGGCGGCGGAGAAAAGCACGGCGTTGGCGCAAGTGGCGCAGGTTCTGTGGGCAATTGGCTTTCTGGCCGTCCAAGAAGTGGTACCTCGGGTTTACGGAGCAATTGGCGAAGGTCGCGGAGGACGGGGGGAGGGTGCTGGGAATGATTGACCGGTGGCGGGTCGAGCAGCTGCGAAACTTTGGACGGGATCATTTGGCGGACGCTGCACTGGGAATGGTGGGGGTCCCAGCTAGGGCGGCGGAGAGAGGTCCTGGGGACGCCAACGCGCACATTAATGATGATGAAGAAGTTAAACCGGAAACGCTCAGCCAAAACGAAGCTGGGGCGAAGGAGGATTTCACGGGAGCCAAAGGTTCGGAAATTGGACTTGCGGGGCAGGTTGAAACCGAGGGGAAGGAAGAGTTAGCGCCTGCAGACGTTAGGGGGCACCCAGATGAGGAAGAGGTATCCAGTTCGGGTATGGACGTGGAAGACTGGGGAGCCCTGGAGGAGGACGCGCCGCTAGAAGGGGCATCAGATGACGACTGCACGGTTTCTGACGGGCTGAGTGAGTTAGGTAGGGACGAACCGGCGCATGCTTCGGAGGCTGAGGGGCAGCCCGAACCGGAGGTGATCCACGATCGGGACTTAGCGGAAGGGGATGCAAACGAGCTCCACATGGACGCTTTGCGCAGCATGAGGTTGATGACCCAGGACGCATTCTGGGTGCTGCGAGAAGGCGGGGGTGGGGAAGCGTGGGACTTGGAAGAAGGTCCCGGGGGACCAGGGTCGGGCGGCGCAGAGGCGGACTGGCGAACGGACGATGAAGGTGGAGGGGGGGAATCACAAAGGCAGGGGGAGAACGGGGGCGGTCCAAGCGACTTGGCGTTCATGACGAAAATGGCGACCGCAGAGTCGCCATCGGACCTGGAGGCGATGCTGGACCGACTCGGCCTGGAGGACCTCGCCTTAACGGTGAGCAGCTGGCCCCAGGTCTGCTGACTTTCTTTCGATGAAGGATCTTGCTGATTCCGTGCGTTTAGGGGTGTTCTGCAGAGAGGTGACGAATGAAGTCTGTAGAATGTGCTTTCTATTTTCGTAAAAATCGCCAACCTGCTGTAGGCTGATCCTGTCTTCGAGGCAAACTGTGCAGCTTGCTTGCCTGTGACTTTGCACTCGCCGGAATACAACTCGTTCGAGACCCGGTGTGGTAATCCTCACAAAGAGCCACTGACGCTTTCGGCTCTCTAGCGACTGGTCGAGCAGGTCACCTTACGACAAAGGACAACACAGAACACAGATCTTTTGTATCCGGCCCGTTCGGCGACTGTTCTGCAGGGTCAACTACGATATGAGGAGCAGCCAGACAATCTTCAGCATCCATTCTGAACCGCTGCCACTCCGACATATTCAGGCCGTACCGCTACTTCCACTGAAGAATACCACTGTTATGCTTGCCGGAATGCACTACTCACAGTGATACTTAATCTCCCGTCCAGGCCCCCCGGCCTGTCAGCTGCCGCCCCCTCTCGGCCGCCGAGAGCACTGCGGTGGACGCGGTCTTGCGGCGCAGCTTCTTCCGGGGGGGTGACGACGGGCACGGCATCGTGGCGTCTGTGGGGCAGCACGAAGTGAGCGCGCGCGACCTGCAGGCGCTGAGCGGCGCGCGCTGGCTCAACGACCAGGTGGTCAACTTCTACATGGAGCTGCTGGCGCGCAAGAACGCGGCCGACAGGAAGGCCGCGCGCGCAAGGTGAGCGGCGTGCGGGACTAGGGAGACTGGTCCACTGGTCAGCTTGGCAAGGAATTGATCGTCCAGGAACAGAATAAGGATGGTCGGGCTGTTGCTTGCGTAGGAGAAATAAGGCCGGAAGCGTGCCGGTATCGATAAGCCTCCTCGTTGAAGGTTTGCTCCAGGTCGCAGGGATACAGGTTCTGCCAACATCTGAAGGGGGCGCTAGAGGCGCCTCCTTCTTTCCGCATCGTTTTTCGCACTTGTCAGTGTCAGATTTACCCACACCGGCAAGCTGCCAGGGAGGCTGACACGGTTGGCTTGTTGCTCCTCAGGCCAGTTCCCCGGGTGCACGTGTTGAACAGCTTCTTCTACACCAAGCTGGTCAACGGCGGGTACAACTACACGGGGGTGCGCCGCTGGACCAAGAGAGTGGACGTCTTTCAGCAGGACCTCCTCCTCACGCCCATCAACCTCAACAACGCGCACTGGTGAGCAGCGCTGTCTGCATCGGTTTTTACGAGCAGAAATGATCTCAGCAGAGTGCTGCTTACTGGCAGTGCGCTACGAAGCTCGACATCTTATCGACATGCACGGGATAGCTACTGTGGCTCGTCTTTTTCCCTTGGAGTGCTTGCAATCATTGTTTTTTAGGGTGCTTCTGTCCGTCGACGGTACGTTCTTTGTTTGAAAGAAACGCGTTTCAACTGCTGAAGGTGGCTGTGTCATCGTCTCCGGACTCTTCACGTCAGTCTTCTGGCCTGCTTTATGCTGAGCTGGAAATGAAAGGGACACTGCTGGAGCGGAACGGAAGTCGCACGTGGACACGACTATTCTGCGTCATCACTCATTAAGAAAGCAGAGGTGCTTGGAAAAAGTCAGAGCGGCATTGCGTAATGATTCATTAGTCGACCAATCCCTCCCTCGCCCCTGTTCTACGGCGACAAAAGCCAGAGCAAGCACACAGGCTTTGGAGCTGACTTGCTCTCGTGTCCTCCAGGGCCTTGATCTCTGTGAACCTCAAGGACCGGTGTGTGGAGTACTACGATTCGCTATGCGGTCCCGTCGAAAGTGCGCGTGCCAGGACCATCACAGAGACGGTAAGCGCGCCGTGGTCTTTTGAAGAGCAACTCTTTTCATTTACCTACCGTCGAACGCATCTGCATCTTTCCACCTACGGCCTGCTTATCATGCGCGATCCCCGGATTTCGCGTCTGGTCGCTTTGCACAGATTCTTACAGACGCGTCTGCTTTTGTTTTCATCCGCAGAGTGCTTTGAGCCTGACTCCACGACATCTACGCCAGCTCGATCGAACCGGCGAAAAAATCTTTGATTTCTTTGGCACTCCCATGTATTTGCAAAAGGGCCGCAGATCAGCGCGTCTTCCGTCCAAGCTCTTAGAGAAAGGCGCTTCCTCGACCATCGAAAGCAGGTGGCCTCTTCCGCAGTGATCGACCTTTGAATTGTTCTCTCCCTCTTGGAGCAGGTTCTGCGGTACCTGGAAGACGAGAGCCAGGACAAGCGGCAGCGCGAGCTGGAGGACCGGAAGAAGTGGGCCGTCAAACAGATGCTGCACGGGGTGCCGCAGCAGGTACGGCCCTGCGCCTCAGTGCTGCTTCCCACGTTCCCTGTGCTGCGCTTTCGATTCTCTTACGGCCTCTTGCAGGGGTAGCACGCAGAGGTTTTGGCGGCGCACTGCATGCCCAAGCGTCTCCTTTATACCCGCCTGTTGAGACTACCAGGCCTCTTGCAAAGTTTCGTCTGTTCGTTGTACACCTTTCGGTCGCGTTTCCACCGATCGATTCCCTGGAACTGCGCCAGTTTCATATGTGAGTAAGTAAGTCTCTTGCACCTCATTTACCGTGCATAAAGGAGTGCACAACCTTCAAAATTGTGTCTCCTGTGGCCCTGCGCAGGGCGACGGAGGTAGCTGCGGCGTGTTTGCATGCGCTTACGCCGACCTGTTGGCCCAAGGGGCGCGGCCGCCGTTCGACTTCAGCCAGGCGGACATTCTGACCATGAGGAGAGCTATGGCCGCGGACATTCTTGCCGGAAAGTTGCAACCGGCATAGAAGAAGAGCGGAGGAGGAATGCTTCTCATGAAACTGTGGCCCTAGCTAGGCGTGCCCTGCTTTTGTAAGCAGGGTCAATAAGATGTGCCCCACAAAGCCGCTCTGGCAAAGCCAGGCCTGGCAAAGCAGCTTAGGCATCCAGGAGTCCTCCTCCAGAACTTGTATTTCAACGGTGATATAGTATGTTGAAAGCTTCGCTCTTGTCGAAAAGTCTGATGCAGGCGGAAACATTGACTGACAAGCCGTGACCGGCTTGATTGGACTCCAAAGAAAAGGAGATGCTCCGGAAACGTTGTACCTTAGTGCAACCGCTCCGAAAAATGATGTTAAGCGTGAGCACATCAAAGACCTGCGGGGCTCTCTTAGGGCTTCCACTTATCCGTGCTTGTATGGTCGTGATAGATGCACGAGGACTCTCAGATCTGTTCACATCCGGTGATGGACAATGATGGAATGCGTACGTCGACCAGGACGGTCACACGAGTTGGGCCTGGAGGCTATAGAACCGCCGCACCGCGGCATGTAACATCGTAAGTGAAGTTGCAAAGCCAAGATACTAGGGAAGGCGCCCGTAAAGTATATCAAGGACCAGTCACGTTAAATTACTGCCAAACGTCTAGGCGCCGCGATAAAGGATAAAGGACCAGTCACGCGTTTATCAAGTTACTCAGCGTGCAGAGATATCGTCTCAAAGATCCTCTCTGGCTCCGACTTCAGGCCGGGGCGGCCGCCAGGGCCGCATGCATGGTACGTCCGTTTGCAGTTGACTAGTGTTTGAGCGCTACGTTAAGCTGGGCACGCCAACCTATACTTACTTAATTTTGAAATGTGCAGCGTGCCCTATAGCAATAGGACTAGCTGGTACGTCAGTGTCATGTTGGGCCTGCGCTACAAATGCAATCAACGGCGGCTGGCAATGATGCAAAGTGGGCGGCCTTCAATCATTGCAATTGTCGCGATCCATGAATTCAAGCGCATCATGCCGCGGGCCGGAGCGTGAGCAGCAAATATTGCTGCCGCCCCCGCTGCTGCACCCTTTCACAGAATCAATTTGATAAGAAGACTTGCACATGAATATGTTCTAACCTCGCACTTACAATCCAGCATCAAACGTGCGAACGAGTAGTCTCGATTATATGTTGAGTTACGGCTATGTTGACTTAGGTCATGCCCGGGAGACGGGTGGGGTTGGTTTGGGGGTTTCAAGTTTAGGGTGGGTATGTACGGGTGCGGAGCATGTTAACTTTTGGTTTAGGTTTTTAGTTTGTTTGAGCCCGGGGACTCGATCTAACTCAACATACACCTAACTCAACATAATATCGAGACTTATGGGCGAACGTTCATGTATGCAAGTTTAATCTTTCGACACTGTCATATGTATGTATTGCTCCCATGTGCTAATGCTACCATCCGCTCTGTATTCAGCTGTAATCGATCAGCGATGCTCAGGGGCCCTGCTTGCTGCGCTTGAACGGGCTTGCCCCAGAATCTTCCGACTTTAGCGGTTTCGACTTCTCGTAGGGCGCTTTCCAGTTCTGCAAAGACAGCAAGGAACTAGCTCAAAAGGCTTGGTAGAAACAAATCGGGGAGAGTGCGGATGCAAATGCAAGTTGAAAGCCGACAAAGGAAGTCAACGTAGACTGAAAAGGGTGTTCGTTACCTGCTTCAAACCTTACGATCCTGTACAATCTGAAATGAATGGACGGAAGAGATAAGTTCGAACGTTCACAATCTGTAGCCTCTTTCTGAAGACTTCTCGAACACGCCAAAAACAATAAGAAAGTCGGCAGCTGCATCGGCAAAGATGAAGACCTGCAACCGAGCTTCGTCATCTACGAAGCTTGCGAACTTGACCTGTGTGTACCTGCAGCGGCGCATCCACCATCTCCGGAGTGACGTAGTTGGCCAGCAGAGTCAGCGCCGCCTCGGCATCGCAGGAGAGGGAGCTCTTGGCGGCGGGCAGCGGGTCGTAGAAGCCGTAGGGCCCCGCCACCTTGATGTCCAGGTCCATGTTGCCAGGCGTGAGGCTGCGCGCGGTCACGCGCAAACCGAGGACCACCTTGAGGCTGGTCAGGAGCACCCAGGCCTCCTTTGGCTCGTCCTTGTACACGCCATGCGCCTCATTTGTCTCGATGATGGCCACGCTCTGGAAATCGAACAGAAAACATCATCGAAGAATTTACAGATTGATGCTGCAGGATTACTAGATTGTGATACAAGATCAAGCGCTGCTCGGAAAACTTTCTGCCAGTGAGTGAATACATTCGAAGGGGGTGTACCTCACGCAGAACCTAAGGCTGTCTCTAAGCGTCTAAACTCCACAACTTCAAAACCTCTTACTTTTGGACGAGTACAGGACACGAGAATCAGCTTGTTCCGATAGATTGAGAGGCGAGATCGAGTGATTGGTCAGGATGAAAATTGGGTGTGAAAATTGCATAAACAAACATACAAGAGAACGTCTGATTTAATCCAGGTGCAAACCCGAAGTGCAATTCGATTTTCAAGCCATCAAGCTGCAGTTGCTTGCAGACTTTTCATCTCAGCAGAATAGAAAGATTTCAGGATCTCCTATCTACCTGGTTTTGTCCAATGGTCCCTTCCCAGCGAATGCGGCCCCTATGATGCGCAGCAACCTTGTCAGAATCATTGCAGTGATTGGTCAATACATCTGATACCGGACAGATGTTTGTAAATCTAAAAGAAGTCTGCTGCGAAGGCGTTGCAAAGGCTTGCCTTCGCAAGTCCTTGGTACAAGGATTCCACCACGGCCTCCTCCGTTGCTTCGATGTGGACCACTCCGTATGTCCTTTTCTTGGTCGGATCCAGAATCTGAATGTCCTCTGTGTCTCCTGCGCTCAAGTACCCGCAATGGCCAATAAGTGCATCCAGAAATGCGCCTGCGTCCTGCAAGGAATAGGATTTGTGTCCACAAGCATCGAACTTTCATGCTTGCGACTGCGCACTGAAAGCTTCTGGTTGCTCGACTGGAAGTGGAAGCTTCGGCCATCTTTGGCATGTGAATTAGCAAAGATCGGGAAAGCCATCGGCGTCTTCCCAATCATCCATACATGATGGAGATTATTCTGAGAAGCAATCGTCATGCTTTCATGCATGTCAGCTTGCTGGTCATCTGAAGGTTGCTTTGCTTTGATCAAAAGGTTTGATCTTACCTCGCCAGTATCTTGATCGGAAGTCTTTGGTCGTGAAGAGTCCCCTGCGGACGCAACCGCGAGCTTCTTGGTCCCACCGAGTCCCACGACGACTTCGAAGAGGAACTCTCTGAGCACGGCATGCATTGCGTAGAAGCGAGCTCTAGCAGAAACCTTTCCCTCTGGAAACGATGTGAATGTCTGCCACTGCAAGATTGTTGGCAGGCAGCGCTCTTTCAGCATGTATCTGTCGACGCCTTCTTGCAGCTCTATGATCTGATCAGTAGCGATTCCTGACTGGCCAGCCTCGATCTCAGCCTGCAGATTTGTTCGCACACTCAAAAGCGGGCTATCCCACATGAGACCAGAATCTTCGTGGACTTTCAGCTCAGAAGGAAACTTCTGACAGGCTTCACGGATTGCTTCAACCTTCTGCGCCACGCTTTGGCCGCAGAACTTGTTCACATACATTTTGGGGAAGGGCTTGAATAGATCTGCGAGTTTGAAGTCTGGCCCACGATTCTCAAGCATCTGCTTCATGTTCTGCAGGATCTCTAATGCAGCCGCCATTCTGAACTCTAATTCCAGAAATGAGTGATCGGTAAGCAGGCTAGTCAAGTTTTTTCAGCGCTGGCAAATTTCTCTGAACGGAATCGCCTATACCTGTAGCGCAGACCACTTGGCTACTGCATGCTGCGATAGCGCTTGCGAAGAAAAATGGAAGCAACAGGAATGAAGTAGAATACAACCCAATAGAGAGCTTCTATCTTACCTGTGCTTTGAGCCTGGATCCAACTTATAGCGTCCAGAATCACTTTCCGGCCAAAATCCTGTTCATGAAACTGAGCAAGCCAATCGCACTTCCCCTGCCAAACAGCACAAAAAAGTGGGGTCAATGAAATCAGACGGCCCGCAGTAGTAAGGAAAGCCTGAGTTGTAACTGGTAAGCCATGGTTACTTCGATGCCCGCTGATTGCAAGTTTACTATGCTGACTCGACATCGGATCAGTGCGCGAACGATTGCCACGTGCTTGAATTCCATTGCATCGGTAGCGATGGTGGCGATCTGTCGGGGTCGGCGGTGCGATGACGGCTTTCACGCACTGCATCGAGTCAGATCAGCTCATCCTCTGCCCTGCATCTCCTGAAGAGGTGTGGAAAGGACTAATCGCATGCTGTTCTCATGGACGCTGCACCCTTTAGCCCTGTAGACTATAGCGAGCAGAAGTATCACAAATCCATCAGAAAGCAACTCCCACTTGGACACTGGAAGCGTAATGATGGGTTTTCCTCTCGTACGGGTTCCACTTTGAGATTCGTGCCTGAGCATGATACTTCCACCGTTCGGAAAGACCATGCAAGCTGCATCGCGCATAAGAATCTCGCTTTGGAAGTCCTGATGAACATCGTTAAGACGTATTCCATGAATTGCTGAACCCGCATGGAATGCGCCGCTGAAATCGTATCAAAAGCACTTCCCTTTACAAGCTGTTCCCACAGGCTGTTCCCGTAAGTTACAAGGCTGCATCCCACTTGCCTTGATTGGTGCCAGCATTGCAGTCTGTCCGAGATTCTTATGGGCGAGAACAAATAAGTACGCATACTGGTTAGACCTGACAAACCAGGGTGCTGATCCAGATGGATGCGATACATTTTCCCTGTGACTTCCGTTTAGTCGCTACACGAGATCCAGAGGGAGGGAGGTTCTCGATGCAGAGAAGTCGTTTTGGTGCTCCTTGCGGAGCAGCAACACTCAAAACCGTGGTACTACATAGCGCCTCTTTTAATCGGCGCCCATACTAGCTCATGAATGGTCATGGGCTTGAATCTTGAAAGAATTCACATGTCACATGCACACGGAGATTGGTAGAACATTGGTCATCAGCAAACACTCTCCACTATTGGAGTAAAGTCGCCAGATAGAAGTGGAACAACAACGAAATTCGATACCTTACATATCCGTAATACGAACCCTTTCAGAATCTTCGACTATTCATAACACTCTCTCCCTTTCATAAGCGACACGCTTCAGGTACAGCGCAAAGCACGTAAGCGATCTGACGTGAAATCCGAATGAGGGCATGCGTTTCAAGTCGCATAATTCATCATATTGAAAAACTGAATTGGACGCTTTCTACTTAAGTGTACCATGAGCTTCTCGAAAGTTGTTTCTCCAGATGGCAAAAAAGTCCAAATCTGCAAGAAGATGCAGACATGAAGGCTGTATTCTTGCACCGTTCACTACAAATATCAGAACTCATAGAGAAGCGGCTGAGACACTACTTTGACTATTTGCGGCCGTCCGGACCGCTCTCTGCCTTTCGCAAGCATTGAAGACCTCTCCAACGTCCTGTGGCCATTGCATACCTTCAAAGGATCCTCTGCGCACTTCCAGTTCCAGGTTCCAGGCGTGCAAACCGTGCCGTTTAGTCAAACCAAAACCCTTAAGAAGCAATCAGCCGCAGCTGGGGCGGCGGCAGGTCACGGCACCAGGATGACGGAGCCCTTGTTGTGGCGGCCCTCGAGGTACGCGTGCGCCCCGGCCGCATCCGCGAGCGGGAACCGGGTGATCTCGGGGATGCGAACGCGGCCGCTGCCCAGCTCATTCAAGGCCGCCTGCAGGGGTAGGAAACTTTTGTTATTTAGGTGTCTTGAAGTCCATCGCATTTCATTAACCTTTGCTTACCAAAAAGGCCGTTCTTTGCAGAACGTGCCGCTTCTGCAGGACTCGGGCGCCCGCAGGGGCACCAGCTTTGAGAGCACGCAATGGACCGTTTGGTGGTGAACCAGCTACCGTCAGCTCCACAGATTTGGGACCTCAGACCTTCTTGAGTCAAACAATGAAGACACCCGAAGAAGAAAGTGGAGGCCAATAATGTAGATTGAGCAACAAAAAAGCTTGGCACTCTTTCGCGTCAACTTCCGCTCCGATAGAGCATGGAATGTCAACGAGAACGAAACCTCGAGTGAAACTGATTCAAAGACAAAATGGACACTGAACGGGGAACAGGCATCCGGCAAAGCTGCAGTTCGAGAGCTGCCCACCTGCGCGAACTCGACGTACTCCTCGCGTGTTTTGATGTAGTTGAAGAGGGCCGCCTGATGCACCGAAATGTGACGGCGGTTCAAGTACTCCTGCCGCAGGTCTTCCGGGTCGGGCGGGCCGGAAGCGGAACCGAAAAGAACCTGGGAAATGAGGTCGGAAGGTTCAGTAAAAATGGGGTTGGGGACGAAGAGCAAGCTTCTTTCTTGAGAGGGCTTTGCTTCCCCAGAGTCATGACTATTAGAGTTACAGGTCGAGGTTCATGCGCTCAAAGTTTATCGAGCGTGGAAGCGGTGGAGTTTTTCGCTTTCTGTGCCCCTGGCTCGTATGAAACTACTTTGTCTGGTAGACCTCGAATTATCTCGTCGATCTGTCGCCTCCAGGACCCATCAGAATCTTCAGAAGCTGAAGCAGACCTGCTCGAGTATGACCAAACAAAAAACTTAGCTCGTCAGGTTCGCGAGGACCGGAGATCTCCCCGGGCCGTCCTGATGCTTCGGTTCATCTAATTATTGCTCACCAGGTGTCCGTTGTCGTGGAGGCTCTCGAGGGACGCCTTGACGGTGGCCTTGCCCACCGCGTCATACACGACGTCAGCCATGTGCCCCTTGGTCGCCTGCTTGACGCCCTCCGCGACGTCCTCGCGCGTGTACACGATCACGTGGTCGCAGCCGTTCTCGCGCGCGCGCGCGGCCTTCTCGTCGGATCCGACGGTCACGATGACGTGCGCGCCCAGGCGCTTGGCCCACTGGGTGAGCAGCGACCCGACGCCGCCCGCGGCCGCGTGGACCACGACCCCTGGACCACGACCCACTGGCCCGCCTTCACCGGGTACCTGGACGGACAGCAGCGCCCTCAGAAACGGAGACAAAGTTTATTAGGGGACCTGAATTACCCAGACTGGTTCAAGGATGGAACTGCTTTGCTTGCCGCCACGTATATGGCTTTGTGCTTAGGTTGATAGCAAGCGGTCGAACAAAGTGAGCACTTTTTGATTGCCAACTCAGCTGGTATATTTGACAGAGCATTCGAGCAGACGCAACACCACCATAGTTCCCCTGACGCTGACGGAGCTACTCCGTTCCAACCCATTATGCTTCTTAAGCGGCGACCAGCAATGGAACACTTCCAGCGTCCTGATCAACTGAAGACCTACCTGTGATTGAGGGCGTTTGTAAGTCGAAACTCTTACAGTGGGTTCAGGACTGATACGCAGTCGTGCCCTTCGACCACACTTTGCTCGGGCTTTGGTATTCAAGGCAGCTTAATTCTACCGTCGTATTTCCCTCCTGACCTTTGTCTCTACGGAAAGCATCCTGACCGACTGCATAATTCTGCTTCGAAGTAAATACCGAATCAAACCATTGATTCTGCGGTCGGCAAAACGAGGACCGTT